CCCAGACAAGTCCTAAAGTGACCGCCAAACGTCAGATAGTCACATAAACAAAGCATTACAGTATCCGGCTTCACTTACTGCTTTCTTCCGCCCGGTTAGAAGTCTCGGGACGCTGCAAGCAACTCATTCATATCTTTGCTTTAGAGCAGACTAATCCTGACTATTTCGCAGTGTAGAAGTGCGCTGTTATTAAAATTTAAAAGTTGTTAGCCTTGTAAATAATTATACGTTTGCCCCTTACGATACTCAAACAAAAACTAACATAGTTTTTACCACGTAAATCTTTAATAAAACTCAAAGCACAAAAGAGATGACCTTCATATTCGAACACATGTAAATTGGTGTGTGTACGTCGGTTCGCATTGCCGAGCCACTACTGTGAATGCGTCGTATTTATTCAATCTCATAGTGCCACTATTTCTATTGTTTAACACGATTCCTGCAATGCTAACAATTGTTTCAAAGTTATGATTTCTGTTTGCTAATGCGTCATATTCAATTAATTATGTGCAATTTTTAGTGTCTATTATTCAGCTGTTATTCACAAGTGTTTTGCCTCCCGAATTTGCTTTACCCAGATTTAAACCTATGAGTGCGGCATTTTCACCAACTCACGAACAGCTTGCCGCACTTTTGAGTGGTGCTACTGCTGGAGTTTGTGTGGATGTCGCAGTTTATCCTATGGACACAATAAAAACACGTCTCCAGAGTGCTGCACATGCTGTGAAACCGGTAGGGGGAGGAAGAATGGGTTTGTTTGCTGGTTTGCCTGCCGTTTTACTTGGCTCAGCCCCGGGAGGTATGACTGAATGCGGACTATTAGCAGCACGGTTGCCTACATGCATTAATTTACATATTATTCGCTTTTTAAGCTGCGTTGTTCTTCATCTCGTATGAGACGGTGAAACGCACATCATTGACTGCAGGAGCTCCGTTGTGGATGGCTTCCATGCTTTCTGCTTGCGCTGGAGAATTAGTACGTATTACTACCTACAATTTTGTTCTTTTTTATTTTATCGACTTCATACTTAGGGTTTTCCTGATTTTAGGTTGCCTGCATAGTTAGAGTTCCTGTTGAAACAATTAAGCAGAGAACACAAAACCAGCCTCATCTGAACGTCCGAATCGTTTTATCACAAACTTTAAAGTCAGAGGCAAGATCTTCATTTTTCTCATCTAAACTCTTTTATTTCCCAGATTCTTGATATTATGCGTTTCTACATGTATACAGGGATGGTGGAGTCTCTATCGCGGTTATTGGAGCCAGGTTTCTCGTGGTCTACCCTTCTCCCTCATTCAATATCCTATTTGGGAAATTCTAAAGGTAGAGGCTGAAGATATTGCGATTGGGATTACTATCTTATTTCTGTGCTCTCAAAATTTGTACTGGCCATTATTTGTCACTATTCAATTTTTATTGATGCAGTCAATGTCTTGGCGTCTTGCCATTGAGGTGGTATTGCCGAGTAAATAAAATCCAAGATCATATTCACCTGTTCGATACAACTGAGTGCAAAAGTGTTAGTCCTAAGGACATTAAAAAATGCTTTTCCTCGCCATCTTTCCGAACTTCCCTTTTGATTTGCTCTTATTGCTCTGTTGCAAATCTATGCACTTTCTGCCAGTATTCTACCCTATTAGATCAGTGATTGAGTAAAATGTATTTTATGCATTCCGTTTCCCATGAAGCGTAACTTCCTGTGTCGTAATTGTTGCCGAAAATGCGGAGCACCAAAGTGTTGAAACCATTTTCTGCTAGTCGTCATTGCAAGATCAGGGAATAACTGTAATTGAGCTCAATATTTAAAGACATTATGTCGATTTTACTTGTTTAGCCTTTGAGTGGTCTTCATTAAATGCGTGTTTGATTCACGCATGGCAGCAGGCAAATGAGTTCAGTTCTTTTTCGGACCGCCTTCTTTGTTATTCAGGAGTGAATCTTTTTGTATTATTTGTCATGTTGTACAAGTGGTTTAGGAAAACAGTAAAGATTTCTCATTTACTTATGGTTTATAGTCTGGCATTTAGTTGCTGTAAATGTCAGTCTCATAAGCACTATTTTACATCCATTGTTTTGCGACCATTTCAATTGAAAAGCAACTGAATCTTCTGTCGTAGGACCACGGAATTTATAAGCATTGAACGTTCTGCTCTCATCTGTTCTTCTCTTTACGTCCTGCATTGAATTTAATGTCGACATGCTTCCATTTCATAATCTGACAAGGTTTATGAATGACTTAGGCCAGGGCTACTGTGACGCCAATGTATTTATGTAAGTACTGATGCATGCAGAACTTACACCTGAGTGCATGTCCTTACATCGTATAAATCGAGTGGTTTAATGTCTTCAATTGTTCTTCATGTAAATATCCATCTGCGCTCTATCTCTATCCTCTGTCTAAGGATTTGCACACTTTCATTAAGACGAGAATGGTCAATTCACTTGTCTTTTTTGTTTCGCCTCAGCGTGGTATGGAGCAGTACAACAGAAGTCGAACGCTGGATGCCAGTCTTCTCAACTTTAATGTGTGGGAAGCGTGTTTCTCCAATTCCAACGAGTCGAACACCCTATCGAAGACCCAATTCGCGGTGTGTGGAGCTGTCGCTGGTGCCATCGGTGGCTCCTCCACCACCCCCATGGATGTAGCCAAGACAAGAATTATGCTAGCCGAGGTGAGGTCGCTTATTGTGTCTTCCTGTCTGTTGCTAATTAAATGCTACTCATCATAGTTGCTTGCGAAGTCCTATATGGGATCGTATTTCCGTCCTAATGTTCGATTTTCTAGTGATAAGAAGGGCTCATAAGAATGGGTGGTCGGATATATCTTGATGCAATGACGTGCAGGTGGGTGTGAAGTCACTCCTCCTCTCATTATGACAGTTTTTTTGTCTTCTACAATCTTCCTGCTTGTTTCAGGGTCAAACTCTTAGCGTAACATAATGCGATTCAAGTTGACTTTGAGAAGCTCGGAGTGGACTTGGAACTAAAATGAAGCCATTTGTAACGCATTTTTTTCTACCTTCTTTTCTGGAGATGGAATTTTTAGCAGCCCTTTGTCTCAGTGCTAAAATGTATTCACTGGTTTCAATAGGGTGGAGTCAATTGCTTCAGCATATGCAAAGCTTCTTGCACTTTTTTGTGATGATTTGTGCGGAAAAGATAGCTTTCAAGGTTGAGGGATGCCAAATAGAGCTGCTTTTATGGCAGTAATGTCCATTCCGCAAACTACCTTTCTGGAGCTGGGCACAATGACGTTGATTGGTTGCCCCTCTGTGTGTGTAACCGTCCGGGCGACCAACTCTGGTTAGGCTAATCCAATCGAGTCCGTCTTGCTTGCTTCGCCTTGAACGTTAACCCAATTTCATCTCATCAGTTGCTCTCTCCATACATTCAAATGACCTTTAGTACCTTTCTTCACTGAAGCATTTACTATTCGTTTGCACTGGAATGTAAGCCTGGAAATACAGATTTTGTGCAAGCATTTCGGACTCTGAAAGTTAACCTCCGGTTTGAGCGGCTTGTTCATAGGTCACTCAACTCTTCCTTTACATTCTGGGATAAGGTGATAGCCATCATTATCGGAAGGCTCCTCCCTGACCCAAATGCTCATCTCCCCCTTGGCAAAAGTTAGTTTTTACCGATTCATGACTCTCGACAGTCTCTCTACATCCAGACCACGACATATATTTCGGTAAGTTGAGTTGTGCCTTGGAGGTCCGGGGACAACTAGTTGGTTAACCTTGAAACGGAAATTGATTTGCTTCACCTCAAGTCCATCGGTCAACTATAAAGCGATGCGGTTTTGAAGATAGCTGGATAGTGTTTTGGTCAGCTTGCTTAGCAGCTATGCCTTCTCACTTGGTGTTGACGTTGAGTAACTTCATCCTACTGCATACGTAGTTCAGGATCGCCACAAAGGTAGGATCTGCACAAATGGACCCACCACTGCCCTCTGGACGGCTTTCCCCCGCTGTCACGCCCCACACCTTTACCATAAGTCATGGCGTTTTGAAAACAGAAGGCTTTTGCAGCTTGTAACGTTAGCTAAACCAATTACTTAAGGCATCTGTTAGCCCCAACCGACTTCTGGATGGTATGAGGATGGGATCTTGGGGAGGAAAATCTAAGGCGAAGGGAAGGTAGCGTAAAAATCGGTGATCGCGCATCGGCATTTCCTCTACAACGTCTGTGCACAAACATTCCTGTGCACTTTACGCCCTTGCAAGTCGCATCATGTTGGTACGCACAGCTTCTTTCATTCACCCGGTAGATTCGGAGGAAATGTTTTGGTTAGTTTAATTGTCGATCTCCTCACCAGTTGGTCAAATTCAAGGCAAATCACTCGCTTAATGTTCCCACACTGTCGTACCTCGTGTTACCTAGCCCTTCACTTCGGCTTTAAATGTTTGCCTGTTTCACGGTAGCAAGTTTCCATTTGTAGGGCGCAGGTCTGAAATGTCGAGTCGATACTGGCGGCTGAAACCCGTTTCAGCATTAGCAAATACTTCACTTCTCTTGTACTGTCTACGAAATCATCATAAACATTGTCTAAATTTGAGCCAAAAAGTCCTTTGAAGGTGCTTTCTTCAGTTGAGAAAGGGCAATTCTATGTTGCTTTTGTGTTTTTGTTACTTGGTAGATTTGTTGGCTTGCGTGACTGCTTTTTGTAATGGCTTTTTATCTTTTTTGGCAGAAGGGGACGCCTCTGGCCTCAGGAAGTGTAACGGTCGCTTTGCGGACAATCTATCGGGAAGGCGGCATTTCTGGGTAGGTTACAATCCCTTTCTCCACCGTTTTTTATTTTTCCTCTTCTCTTTGTTTTTTTCCCCTTTTTTTGGATATTTTCCTAATTTTAAGGAGTTGCTTTTTCGTCTGAGCTTTGACTTATTTGGATGGGAAGAAAATCATCTCGTGTAAAGACCTCATTTTTATGCTCTCTTATCGTCTCATGGGCTGGTTTTTTTAGAAGACATAAAGACGAAGTCACTAGAGGAAATTTTTTTTGGATTAAGTAGTCGGTACGACAACCTATGAGTTCTGTCAAACGAGACACAACTTTGGTGTTTTCTCCATCCTTATGGACAGTAAAGGCGAGCGAATTTACCGACAATCAGTCGGACAGACGTCTGAAATTTCAGTCACAGCGTTGAGACGATGTCTTCCTGACTTTCACTGGCTGTTTAACCAGTGTCTTGATTGATCTCACTGGCAACTATTTACACTTTCGTAATCGGGATGAGCTTGTAAATTAGGCATGATGGGATCGGATCAGGTGTGCGGATGTGTCCACCTGTAACGATCTCCCTTTGGTAGGGTCAGAGCTTGGGTATGAAGAAGGCTCCACTTTTGCATTGACGACGCGCGATACTCCTGTGATGACTTTATTCCCCGCTTTGGGATGCAAGGTGTGAAGCGTGAAATTTACCGAAAGTTTGCATCTTCTTTGAAAGGAATCGCATAACTTTCGGTAAAGTCTTCAAAGAAGCGAAATATCTCGGGAATCCTTCCACTCATAAATCAATTCTGTCTTCTCGCATTCCTTCTGCATGAAACTTTTTTTACAAACAAAAGGATGTGCGTTCAGTCGTTGACACCTCCATGCTTACAATTTCCCACATTGACCTCTTCGTAAACACCCAGTTCTTTTGGCCTGACCTCGGAGTCAAGGCATTTGGTTAGCGCCACCAACTTCTCCTGTTTGTCATTATTATTCGTTGCTATTGCCTTTCAAGACCTTTTATTCGCCCGAAACAGGAGACATCTTGGAATGAGCAAACTTGTTTTCCGTGTTCACGAAGTCCGTTGTTGTTTGAAAGACGCCAAATCGTATGATTAGCGCAATTGTGTAGTAACGCATCGACTAGTCCCCTCTTCATTCCATCCATTAGTCGAGTGGGCATTCTGTTTGGATGAACTTGTGTTTGTGCGTCAGAATTAACTAGCACTAACTCTTGTCGCCCTTTTTACTTCTCACTAATGGCAATTTATTTGAAATAAATCACATTTCTGCGTTCACATCCACCTTCCAGACTGCATTCTGCGAGTGTGTTTAGATTTACCATTTGCGAGTTGATGGTAGCCAATCTTCCTTTGCTTTTTTCTTTCAAAAATCGAACTATGGTATCAGAAGGAGGACTGTTAGGACGTTAGATCGCTTGGTATGCTAGCGGCTGCTGTTGGAGAGTGGGGCGTACTGACAGGAAAGTAGATGAGTGACGGGTTAGAGAGGTGTTTGACCACTGCATCTCCCAAGTCATGCTAATTGTTGTTTCCTCTTTTTAAGCCTTTTTGCCGGTCTTGTGCCCCGTGTTTACATCAAGTGCTTCGGTGGGGCCGTTTTCCTTGGCCTCTACGACATCTCCAAACGCATGTGGCTTACCTATCTACCCGCAAGGTCTTTCAGCTCCGAATAACTACCGTCACTCTTGTTGAAATTTCTTCCGCCATGTACAGCTGTTCCCTCCAACTCTTCGCGCCTGTCTTCACTCCCATCACCCGACTGCCAACCTGCATGCAGCTTTTCTAGGTCTTATACTTTTGTACCCTTTTGGTAATATCATTCACGCGCGCGTTCGTGTGCCAGATTAGGTCGCTTTCAAATAAATCATTGTTTTATTCTTCTTTCCTTTCGTATGTCCTTGTAATCGTGTGCTTGAAAATGTTCCATCTTTGTTCGCATAGTAGCATTCTCCTTTTTTCGTATGAAATTTTTTTTTGAGCGTTACTTTGTTAGCTATCGGTAGTATCGTCGTAGTGAACAGTTGCACCCTCATCGCTTCCCACTTGTTGAGCTCATGCGCTGGAACTGCAGCAGCAAAATTCTTTCCTCCTCCTTGCCAACTGCAAATATCTACGTTTAAACTATAGGCAATGGTAGACGTGAATGCGTTTGCTCCAACCCATCAATTTTCCGTTCTTTTGACGTTGGAAACACCTTTAGTTTCGTTGGAGTACAATCAGTTTGCCTTTTCAGAGGTGTCTGCATGCAGCCAGCCTGGTACAACTTTAACGTCGCTGCTTAGATTGCGTACATGATGGACATTCGCAGATCTGAAAGGAGTTAAATTCAGTCCTCCGATCAAATATTAGTAGTTAACCTTCAGCCGTTGTTGTGTCATTTCATCAAGTCTTGTCGTACCTTTCATTTTCACTCTCGCAGAGTGTTGTATTTGCATCTCTTTTCTCGAGTGCAACTATTCAGACTGTTTATTTTCTTTTTTTCAATGAGGGCTAACAGGTTATTTTTATTTTACCCGTCTTTGTCAGACACCCATTCTGTGGAGTGAGGACCGAGCGGTACAATTTTGTGCGGGTGGCACCGCTGGACTCTTGGTCGATGTCGCCCTGTACCCTATTGACACGCTTAAGACTCGTCTTCAATCTTCCTCCGGCAGCATTTTTACGTCCTGCGGACGGCTTCGACTCTTCGCTGGACTGCCCACTGTGCTTTTGGGTTCTGGTCCTTCCTGTGAGTAATCCTGATTTTTCGTCTGAAACTTGAGATTTTATTTGGCTTTGTTTCTTAACCTCATTCTTTTTCCTATCTTTTCCAAATTTTTCTTTCCCACTTCAGCCGCCGTCTTCTTCTACGCCTATGAGGTCTCCAAAGACCTCTCTATGCATAACAATCTTCCAATGTGGGTTGCTTCTATGATAGGAACCACAATAGCTGAGATTGTATGTGCCTCCGATGTGTGTTCGGTCTGATCCTTGGGCTTGTCTTACTTGCTATGCACTCTCCGCTGTAGACCTCCATGGTGCTTTGGGTGCCCTGCGAAAATGTTAAACAGTCTGCTCAAAGTCGTCCGTTTGACTCGCTCCGGTCAATTTTCAAAAGCTACGTCCAGCACGAAGTAGGGTTTGTAGCTTTTTGTTCTGACTTGAATTATCTTGCTTATTAAGTTATTGAAAGGGGAAAGAGAAAAGTGAAGGATTCCTTATTTTTACGGATGACTGAATGTATGGATTCTTATTATTTTTTTGAACAAACAACTAAAGGTTTGTTTGTCTTAATAAATTGGTTGCCTATACAAACAGAATAATTGTCTTAGATTCCTTTCCCCATTCCAGGGTTGGAAGGGTCTCTACCGCGGCTACGTAAGCACAGTAGTTCGCGATCTACCCTGTGCCCTCATTCAATTTCCCATTTGGGAAGCTTTAAAGAGTTTTTTTGCGTGGCGGAACCAATGTCCAGAGGAAAGATGCCAATTTCGCGATGCTTTCTCGTCTCCGTCACCTTCAAATTTGACCAATTTCCAGTTCGCCCTGTGTGGCTTCCTCTCCGGTGCCGTTGCTGGTTCTGTCACTACTCCATTAGATGTGGCAAAGACACGAATCATGCTTGCAAGTGTCAGTTTCATTTTTGGCTTTCCACCTACCTTTTATTCGTTCTCGTAATCGCATTACTTCAAAAGTAATGGACTTTGAAGTAGCTGGATTTTGTGCAGTCATTCGGTCCATCAAATAACCGTGTAAAATATCTACACGTGCGTTTACAAGTATTGCATTCTAATTGGTCAATAAGCGGCACAGTTATCCGATTGGTTGGTAACTGAATGTTTGTTGGATTGGTTGGTGTGCCGAGGAATCATCTGATTGGTTCATCTCCCAACATGATTTTTAGCGAAACAGTCCCCTTGCATCAGGAAGGATTTCTACTGCGTTAAAGATCGTCTACCGAGAGGCTGGTATAACTGGGTCAGTTGTGCTGACTTATTTTTATGTTATTTGGTTGATTTCTGTATTTTTTTGGCCTGTCAATTTGTTTTCACTTTCTTTTCGTAGAATCAACCATTCGTCTTTTTGATTTTGTGAAAACTAAGCCTTGTTACAAAAATCGAGACCGACAACGAGTCACGAAGTTATTTAAAGAAATGTCTTTGAAAATGGAAAAGTTTTCTTAGTCTAAAAGCACACCAACATATTTGCAACCGCTGAACAATTGTTCGATTAAACACAAAGAGGTCACAACTGGTCGAAATGGCTGTCCACATATGTCACAGTTTAAATCTAACTTCATGGCTGCTCTTCTCTGTTCATCAGCTGGTTTGCTGGACTGATGCCTCGAATGGGTCTCTTGTCTGTAGGCGGTGGTATCTACCTCGGCCTCTATGACATCACCAAGTCCTCCTGGAAGAACGTTCTTGGCCCTTCAATGGAGGCGAAACCGAAACCCTAGCTGTCATATCTTGCTGGCGTGGCTGTCATGGTGTAAAAATTCCAGAGGCAACATTATGAAGTTTGTTGCTTTTTATTCATTGCATAATAGAATTTTTCAGACAAAATGTAACGTGGTAACGTGATGCCGCAATATTGCTTATTAAAGTTAGCCCGGGTTAAAGTCTACCACCCTTAGCGCCCTTCGGAAGATTGGGGTCAACATCAGGATGATTAGCACATGTCCGCAAATAAGCAGGATTATCGCTGCAATATTCTTGAAGCTAAAGATGTCATAATACCGCGTTGCGTTGCAGTTAATCACAATGATTGGCGTTGGTTCAGTCATCACGCTGTTTTTTTATATTTATGCGCTGAGTGCGAATAATGTCATGGAATTTTGCCAAACATTAAAGTCCCTCGATGCCACCCTTGATGGCATGACTTGCATGTTTGTTTATGAAAATAATGCGATTGCTCGTCTGCACTGGACGAAGATGAACTGAAGAATTACTTGCAGAAAGCTTCATGATATTTGGCGACTTGGGTGCTCCAAATGCCCTCTGCTATACTCCTTCAGAATTACGCAATTACTGAAGCCCTATTTCACTGAAACGGTGTTACTTTTGGAGACAAGCACAAATATGGATGCTGTGACTTGCTGTTTAGAGCTATTTCAGTTGAATGGTCGGTATATCTCGAATTTGGGGTAAATGGTGTTAAGGTCCCTTGAGGCATAAACGTTGGCAAACTATACCAACGGAGGCGAGTTTTTACATCTCGTCATCTACCTCAACGAGTTAAATTTGTTTCTCTCCGTGAGCAGTGAATTGAGCGGCTTAGCCACAGTCTTCTAAAGCATCAACAAAAGAGCTTTCATTGAATTAACTCATGATACGAGTGATGGTTTGATGGGTTGGTTCTATAACACTGTAAATACCAGCGTCATCGTGGCCTTAGCAAGAGGTAGGATTTTCACAGAGGCACTCTATCATTATCACCGTAACCGAATCCGGGCACCACAAATAAATTTCCAAGAGGGATGCATATGTCATGGCTGGTTGGAAGTGCACCACGGGAGGAGGTAGCTAGCACCCGAGGTCATTCTAGAAACCAGTTTCAAAGTTGCATTAGAGATGCGTGCTAGTAATCGAAGGGAACTCCAGATGTGGTAGTTTGGCATGGGGGACTTTTATAAAACTGAAAGACGTATACACTCCTATGTTTAGAAAAAGCACCTTCACGTTGGTACACCGACGAAGAATGACTTCGCAGACACCTGATCGCTGATGTAAAACATTCGCACGGCTAAATGAGTTCTTAGTGAGCTAAATGCGTCATAGCGTTTCACCGAAACATTGACGCACTCCAATTCAGACTTCTGGTATGCCATTTAAGACGACCCGCCTGCCCTCGTGAAGGGAACAACTCAACCCCACTGTTGTCTTTCATAGTTGTTTTCTACAAACTCCAGTACAGATCCACCATCAGCGCGAAGGCATTACTCGCATCTGCTACAAGCCCCTTCCAGTAGAAGTTAGAACTGCGCGTCGAACTCAAACATCACCAGTCTGGCAGCAGTACTCCAAACCCATAAGTGGCAACCCACCCCGAAGCGTGACGACGCATTTACATCCAACTACCGTAATTTACTTTGCGACTCCGCACTTTCCCTGTAGACAAAACATTTATAATTCAACATGGTCTGATATTTAAGTATTTAAATAAAGGGAGAAAGTGGAGGTGTAGATACAGTTCTATATTCCAGAAACTGTGACTAAGAGGTTTTCGTATCAAACCTAATACCGAGAGATCTGGATTCTTCGTGACCACTCTAGGATTGGTAACTTGCCAAGAAGTCAGTAACAATGGTCTTTAGTCTATCGTCCAACTCTTGGGAGATTTCGCCGACATCCCGAATGGTTTTCAGGATATCTTGGTGATTTGCCTTGAAGTACTTTAGGAAATCCTGCTCAAATTTAGTAATCTTCGATGGATCCATTTTGTCCAAATGACCACGGACACCAGCGTATATAACTACAACCTGCTCCTCGATAGCCATGGGTACTAGAGACACAATCAGGGATATACATGTAACCTACCGTATTGACCCTGCTTCAAGAGTTCCGTCAATCGAACGCCACGATTCAATAGAGCTTGAGTTGTGGCATCAAGATCGGATCCAAATTGCGCAAAAGCGGCAACTTCACGATATTGCGCCAATTCAAGCTTCATTCGACCAGCAACTTGCTTCATAGCCTTAGTCTGAGCTGCGGAACCGACACGACTGACAGACAGACCAACATTGATAGCTGGACGAATACCCTTGAAGAAAAGCTCGTTCTCCAAAAAGATTTGACCGTCAGTGATAGATATAACGTTGGTAGGTATGTAAGCGGATACATCACCGGCCTGAGATGAGAAGTTAAAGATTTCAACGTCGAAAGCCTACCTGAGTCTCGATAACTGGAAGAGCGGTGAGGGAACCGCCTCCATACTGGTCGTTCATTTTAGCAGCACGCTCCAGCAGACGCGAATGTAGGTAAAAAACATCACCAGGATAAGCTTCACGACCCGGAGGACGACGTAAAAGGAGGGACATCTGACGGTAAGCAACAGCTTGCTTGGAAAGATCGTCGTAGATGATGAGAGCATGCTTTCCGTTGTCACGGAAGTACTCTCCCATGGCGCAACCAGAGTAGGGAGCAAGATATTGAAGTGGGGCAGCGTCAGAAGCAGTAGCGGACACAACAATCGTGTATTTCATGGCCCCAGCAATAGTCAGACGCCTGACAAGTTGAGCAACAGTAGAGCGCTTCTGACCAATAGCAACATAAATGCAGAAGAGCTTTTTCTTCTCATCAGCGCCCTCATTAAAGCGCTTCTGGTTAATTATGGTATCGATAGCGATAGCTGTTTTTCCCGTTTGACGATCACCAATTATCAGCTCACGCTGGCCACGTCCGATTGGCACTAGACTATCGACGGCCTTCATGCCAGTTTGCATAGGCTCTTTGACGGAAGTGCGCGGAATTATGCCGGGAGCCTTAACACCAACCCTGCGGCGCTGTTTAGTGGAAATGGCACCAAGACCGTCAATTGGACTCCCCAAAGCATCAACGACACGACCGAGAAGCTCCTCGCCGACGGGAACATCAACAATAGCACCAGCACGCTTGACAATATCGCCTTCCTTGATGAGTTTATCATTACCAAAAACCACGACACCAACATTGTCGGGTTCCAAATTGAGAGCCATACCCTAATCATTTGAATTATGATTCCAAGTAAAAAAATACCTTCAGACCAGAAGAAAACTCCACCATCTCCTCGGCTTGAATATTCTTCAGACCATATACTCGAGCAATACCATCACCAATGCTGAGAACACGCCCAGTTTCCTCCAACTCAGCCTGCTGAGCCTGCCCAAGGATACGTTCCTCCAAAATGCTTGAAAACTCCGGTGATTGAGCATAGCTTTTGGATGTCGACAGGTAACGTCCAGCGTTAGGAAGCAAAGGGACAGCCTAGACAAATCCGAATGAAAAGCAAGCCCGATGTGAATTAGAGAAGAAAAGGAAAATAATATAAACGAGGACTAACGTAGAAAAGGACACGCGATACTCCATGAGCAAAAGTATGATCCCAGATACTCCCGAAGAGAAAAATGAATAAAATTGACGCTGATATAGACTTACCTTAAGAAAGTAACTTGGTACCTTTGGCACTAATGGAAACACAGCGCGCAAAAGGGCCATCTCCGCGAGTCACCGAAACTATAAGGCGAGTGTGTGCCAACTCAAACAAAGCGAAAAATAATCAAGATTCAGCATTTGATCTTCAAAACAAAAGCGAATAGGCTGAGCTGAGTAAAAATGTCGAATATAAGATTTAGCACTCCAATGTCTGTTGTGACAATTTGAATGATTTCTAAATTTTATTTTCTAATTGTGTAAATGCAACCTTGGTAGTTATTTGGAAGCAGAGTTCAGTTATTCGAGAATTTCTATAAATAATTTGATGATATTAGTCAGGACTCCGCGAACCTATATCTTAGCGAAGAGGCTTCCATTCTGCACACCGAACATATTTAACGCAAAGTACCTAAACGGCTATAGCTACTGTGATGCTTTGTTTATATGACTAACTGATGTTTGGCTCTCACTTCAGGAAGGCTCCTATCTATTCTCTGGTACTTGTACCTCAGACTTCAAGAGAGAGTTGTTTGAGATGACTTATTAGGCATTTATTATAGGGTGGTTGGGGAATGGGATGCAGATGAGGCGAGCAGGAGATATCAATTAGAAGGAGACTCCTCGCCGACTTCACGCACATGATTCGCGTTTCCAATTGGTTCCCGACTCTCACCTATAAAAGTACACTTCACCAAACTAGTATGTATTACAGAAGAAGACATAAGCGAGGTTGAATACATGTATTCCGAAGACAACAGAACAAATGGGTCCTGAGCGTGGCCCGAAGGCCTGCCCATGTGTACAAGGACCAGACAAATTCTAAAGTGACCGTCTAACGTCACGTGGTCATATAAACGATGTATTACACTGCCCCTCTCTCCTTTTGAGCGACCTCCTCGGCGCTCCCCTTTGGTACACCTCCTGCGCCAGCCATCACAACATATTCAGCACTACATGAAAGCACCCACGAACCAACCGCACCAGTTGACAGACAGCATGGGACTGAGGAACGCTACTTGGTCTCCACGGCAGCTTCAAATGGATCTGGAGTTATGTTCGGTCTGACGACCAGATTTGGGACCGCATACACCTGTTGACCACCAATTGCTTCCAGGAATCGACGGTGTAACTCTTGTCCAAAGCATATATGTCGCTTCAGTTGTTAATAACTTGTCTGTGGAACACGGGAATAAGGGAAACCGAATACAGACGTCATTCTCAACCCTTTCGTTGTGAGGGATTCGGAGATGGTCCGTCAACAAAGTAAATGCGTCTCCTCCAATTCACGTCCTCTTTTCGCCTCTATCTTAATATATTGCACCTCGATAGAGTCAGACTTCTATCTACGCATGTATACCTCTTGATTGCCAGTACACAACGCAAGAGTACGCTCATTAATCTTGGATTTGTCCACTAGAAAGTAAAATTCCTTTGCAATCTTGTCTGCTAGTTGGATTATAAACTTCTTATAGTGGGAAAATTGGTTTCGATTTCCCAGCCAAGGGAACCCGATTTTGGTGTATCCTCATGCATTCAATCAGTGCCTCATCCTATCGAACAATTGCTTGTCGGCTTATCCTCACTGTTCTTTTCCGGAAATCAGTCGATTAATTGGCAAAGTTTAGCAACGCAAACGTACGATGTCAGTAAGACAGGGGTGTCTATTGGGCAATAGATTTTCCCGGACACTATGTCGCTTTTAACAAACGACCAACGAAGAACAAGCCGCAGAGAGACCCCACCTCAGCTGCAGCAGAAGGTCTTCAAAAACACTTTCCGCTTTCCGCTGCCACCAGTGTGGCGTTCGGAGGTTTCCCATAGGGTGGAAGCAGGCATAATTGGGGTTGAATACATGTATTCTCAAGACGACAGAGCAAATGGGCCTGAGCGTGGCCCAAAGGCCAACCTTCGTGCAGGAGGACCAAACCCTGAAGTGACCGCCTAACGTCATGCGGTCGCATAAACAACGTATTACCATATGGGGCAGCGATGCTGTAATCACAAACTCAAGCGCAGTCTATGTGTGAGATTTCACAAGACCAACTTCAAAGCCTGTGCTGCCTAACCTGCATGAATGCCTACCCAAGCTATGTTCTTCTGATCTTATTGACAATGCTGAGACCCCAACCTTAATGCTTTGTTCGTGTGGCCACTTGGTGTTCGACAAATACATTGTCTTCCGTCTTACCCTTGTGCGCGTGAGCTAGCCCTCGTACCAAGCTCACACTTTCCCCTTTTCTTTCCTATAACCCATGTATTTAGCCCATCTTTGTGTATTCTCCCGTCTATTTTGAAGTCCCCGAACGCTACACCGTTGCAAGTAGCAGTTCGTCAGCCATCTTGTAAATTGATGGCTTCCTGAAATCTGCATTTCCTACAGACCTCCTTCCATCCACAAAATCATTGACCCATAGTATAAGCCCTACGTTGAGCCGCAGAATCCCGCAGCACCCTCACAATCAGCAGCCGCTGAGTCAGGATTACACAACATCTATCGAAAGCACACTTTTCTACTAATTAGCTAACAGTAATTAGTTCTGTGAGTGATGATACAAGTATCGCTAAAAGATCCGAGCAAAGGATTTGGCAGGTATGTAAACTGATTCTTTCACGTATGTCCTCATCGATCCACTTCGCCGAATACAATATCCAAGTTTCCTAAATAAAGATATAATTGTGAGGTGAGCTATTTACGACGATCATAATATTAACAAGGGGTCAGTCAAATAAGGTATGCAACCTATTTTTACGCACAAAAATTTAGTGAACGTGCAGGTGAAACTGTTATGATCGATATAACAAATCAACGCACCTAGAACGGAGACAACGTCAGCCAGTAGGAAGCCCTTACAAAGTTTGTCGCAAGCCGCGAGATGTGGAAAGCTAGGAGTGCGAAACTTGCATCGATAGGGGATATTGCTACCATCGGAGACAAGGTAGATACCAAATTCGCCTTTCGGTGCTTCCACAGCCGTATAGGTCACCCCTGGGGGCACCTGAAGCACGTACACAAGAGATTCAGTGACTGGACAATCAACCCAACAAAAGGGTTACTTCCTTTACCAATATGAGCTTAATGTGGTCATAAAGCATTAGACGCTTGGTAAGAACTGACAATAGGTTCGCAATTTAAGCACCAGTTAATACCGCCACACAATAAAGAAATTGTGACTCCACTAAGCACTAACGTTTGTACGTCTATAATTGTAAATAGGAGAAACTGGACAATTACGAGACAGCCAACTCGATATTTCATCGAAATGACAGAAAGAGCTGCTTACGAATGAGGCATTCATGAAATTAGAAAAAAAGGTATCCTGAAAACGCAAGCCAAATATAAATAGTAGCGCCTAAAATAGCCAGTTAATCAGCGGACAATTCAGCAAAGTAAAACCATAATTATGAAACTCACGCTGTATCCTTCTGTAAAGAGCTTGAAATGATGGATTAGAGCTTCCATAGAGGTCTTCATCTCAGCCCTTTTAGGCGGACAAATTTTGGCGTCGTCAACTTTTATTTCACCAGGAGGCATCTTGTTGAGGCATTGAAGAACGATGCGACAGGATTGACGCATTTCTTCAATACGCAAAATAAATCTGGAGAGGAAACTTCAGTGCAAAGCGCGAAGAAATAAACTCTCTTAAGATTACAATATCCGACAAATCTGACCTGTCGTACACGTCGCCGTTGACACCAATCGGAACATCAAACTCCATGTCTTTGTAGGCATCATAGGGTTGAGTTTTCCGCAAGTCCCACTGAACGCCAGAGCCCCTCAACATGACTCCAGTAAAGCCGAGATCAATAGCATCTTCAGCACTAACAACACCAACGTCTTTAGTTCGATGAATCCACAAAGGATTGGTAATTAACAAATCTTCGATTTCATCTAAACGCTGTGGCAACTTGGTAATAAGTTCATAGAGATCCCCCATAAATCCAAGGGGGATGTCAAGACTAACACCACCGGGACGAACGTAGGCAGCATGAAAACGGGCGCCAGATGCACGTTCGTACATTTCCATCAGTTTTTCACGCTCCTCGAAAAGCCAAAAGAAGGGGGTAATGGCGCCCATGTCAAGGATGTTTGAACCCAGCGCACAGCAATGATTGAGAAGTCGCGTAACCTCGGCAAACATAGCTATATAAGAGGAAACGGTTAAGGATGGCATCACAAATCTAAATTAGTTCGTGAACAGGAAACAAGACCCACTGCGTATATACTTGGCTCGAGGAGGAATCTCAATACCGAGAAGTTTTTCGACAGCCAATGAATAACACTGTTCGCTGGACATCATGCTAAAGTAGTCAAGGCGATCGACGTAAGGAAGATTTTGAGTGTATGTTTTGTATTCCATCAATTTTTCGGTACCACGATGAAGGAAACCAACATGAGGGTCCAGTCTAATGATAATCTTTAATAATAAGGAAATGGCAAAGGAAAGGACAAAAGCTCACCTCACCATCAAGTTCCATAATCATTCTTAAGACACCATGAGCAGCTGGATGCTGTGGTCCGAAATTAAGCTGCAAGGACTGAACCTCAAAGTGACGGAACTCAAACATGTTGGCTATACAAATAATTCCCAAATGTGAACATACTTCGCTTCACATAGTGAGGGTCAAACTTTTCAATAGGTGTTTTATAGAGACTCTGTTGGCCATCAACAAACGCTTTGTCAGGCATCCATCGTGAGGCAAACGTCCTAAAGAGTGGTGAAAAAAAAAGACGATTAGTACCTTCTCGATATCTCAATAAAAGCACTCCTCGAGACCATGGTAGACGTGCCTCGACATAATGAAAACATCTTAGCCGAAACAGCTTTGCCGAAAGCGCCAACTCAAGCGCCCAATCATGAGTTCGATATAATTTCGCAGTACGTCAAAAGCATAAAAATCAAATTTTACAAGATTTTTTATGGAAAAAATATTTATAATTATTATAGTTGCTTGCTTTAGGTGCCAAATTGTCAAATACCGTATCTTTAGCTTAGCGCTAAAACATCAATCAAAAACTAATTTCCTGTTGCTTTGAGTATCTACGTTAGAAAAGTTCTTATAAAAATTTTTGCTTATTTTTTAATTTTTGTACTAACACTACTCAAAGTTTTGTTATGATGATGATAGAAGAATGTTCATTGTACGCCGCGCATATGAAGATCGTGTGGGTTCGCCTGAGGGTCATGTGCGTTTGGTTGTTTTCTAACTGCTATAATCGAAAAGCCTTTATAGTATTATTTAATGCATGCATTCCATTACATGCGTTTCGACCTGTTTCATTTGTTGACTTACGGCCTTTTTTATTCACAGATTTTGCACGAAATAATTATTTTCTCCAAACTTCCTAATATCCTGTGATTTCTTTACGCTCCATTCATTTTTCATATCATTTTTCACCTTTTTTTGACAATTGGACACTTGAATATTTTTACTTTTAGTTAATCTTAGGCCCTACAAGAGAAGTTTGGCGTTCTCAATGCTTCCACATGAGAAAGCAACAGCCTTGCTTTCCGGCGCAACTGCGGGTCTTTGTGTCGACTTTGTCGTTTATCCACTGGACACCATTAAGACGCGTTTGCAGAGTATCGCAACATCCGTCAAGCCGTCTGGCCGTCTTCACCTCTTTGCTGGATTCCCAGCTGTCCTATCCGGATCGGCCCCAGGAGGTCTGCTATTTATTAGTCTTAATTTTAAGCGATGTTTAGTATCATCGCCTTTACCTCCTTAGTCTCTAAGAGACCTCCTTGGTCAGACACTTCGAGAAAGGCTTGATATTGCCAAAGCATTGGTTCTTTCTACCTTAATTCAGTTTCTTAATCTTTTGGTGCAGTGTGTTGGCGTTAATCTCTTTTTTGAAGCTGGTGAGTTTGGATCGAGTTTTAAATCGACAGGTCAAAATTGTTAAAGGGAAGATTTATTTAGGTAACCGCTGCATTTTCATTGATGCATACTCGGCATACATATCCTCAGTTTATTCCTTTTAAGAGTTGTTTAAATTGCTGTGTTATCTACCGAAGTATTGAGATGATTGAGATAAACTAAAAGGCAAGTGACATTCGCTGTCATTATTGCCGATCTAAGTCACTACTGTTTTGTGCCAGCCTTTTGAATGGATATGTCTTTGCTACCCTTTTATTTATTCATTGTTTTTTATGTGCAGCGGCGTTGTTCTTCTGCGCTTACGAAATGACAAGAAATCGAACATCAGGTGTAGCGCCTCCATGGCTCTCCTCTATGCTAGCTGCAAGTTTGGGCGAGATGGTAGCCTGCATAGTACGCGTGCCCTGTGAGACAGTCAAACAGCGAGCACAAAATCAACCTCACCTCAGCTTTAGCCGTGTCCTCTCTGACACTTTGCGAACCGAAGTAAGTGACCCATTCTATTCATATTCCAGCCCATACATTTTGTCTGCCTCTCTTCACTCACTTCTCCTTTACACTGGCATTTATATCCAAACACATATCACTAAGCTATGACTTTCATTCCCCACACTTTGCTAGTAGGACGAAACCGTGAATGATGGCTTTTTAGGAGGAGATATGGCAATAGTGTTTTACCAACACTATTTGATGACGCTATCTAATCTTGCTCCGGAGAAGCCTCATGCAATTTTCGTTTCAGGGTCTGGGAGGCATGTATCGTGGCTATCTTAGTACAATCCTCCGGGAACTGCCCTTCTCTCTCATTCAATACCCCGCTTGGGAGAGTCTTAAGGTATGTTTTTTTATCAGCTGTTCGTTTTATTTTTGTACTGCTGCCATAGAAGGCACTGGTGCCAATTGTCTGGGTGTGCCATGTTCAAACATAAGATAACCTTTTGCTTCTGCAAAGTAGGCGAAGAATAAGGTCTTGCTCAAAAGGCTCATTATCATTTTATAATCACTTTGCATTTGAACTCTTTTCGCGATCGCCCTCTTACAAATAACACTGAGGTAAGTGATTGTTGTCAGCATTAAGGTTAACCAGTAGATCCAATTCGTTCTTTAGGATTAAAGCCAGGAATTATATCGGCCTTGTATTTCTAATGTACAGTATACTTGACAGTCTACCTTCCTTAACAAATTCACGCTGAAGCAGCAAAGTCATACGATTTGGTGTTGTTACTGCACGGATCGTGGAAGTTATGCAAGAAGGTGTAAAGGCTAGCACATGCATGCTTGAATGGAGGCAACTGTCCGCATCAGTAGAGACGATGAAACGTTGCAACCATTGTACGAATCAATACTACCTACTTAACTACTTATTAGTAGGATGTGGATAACCCTATTCAAACCTCCATCCGTTTCGCGTTTCCAGCACCTTATGGGCCGATACAATCGAAGCAGAGCAGGTGGTAATGGAAGCCTGTCCAAAGGACAGTTTGCACTTTGCGGTGCAATAGCAGGAGCCTTTGCCGGTGCCTTCACAACACCCTTTGATGTCATTAAAACTCGAATTATGCTTGCAGAGGTGAGCTCCACTTTTCGTTGCGACGCCTTGTTATCGGCAGAAACCATTGTGTTTCGAACCCTAAATCCACTCGGTTATTAATTTAAATCACTGCAAGAATTCATTGGCTAATTATTTTGAAAAAGGCAGGCCTTACCGCAACCCGAACGTGAAACACGTGTAAATGCTGCTTACGACCGGTGCAAGCTATAACATTACAAACATGTCCTCATTTTTATTTAGTTAGGTTTTTCATGACGATTAAAATTTAGTCTGTCATTATGAAACCGTTGCAAGGGATGTTGACTCAAGAATTGGATAATTTCTTCTTACCAAGCCTTGTGGCTAATTTAGGTGATATTTAATTCCGATGTCAGATCAAAGACCAAATGATCAATGGCTCCTATTTAATTACTTCTAGAAGCAGAGTGCTTTTTCTACTAGCAATGCGTTAACGGTGATGCGTGCCATCTATGCCGAGGCTGGCGTTCAGGGGTAAGCTTACTTCTTCATTTATTTCACCTTTGTTTATTTGCCTTGCATATGTTACGAATGTAGAGACGGCTGTTGTGGTGTTGAGCAAATTCGCGTGTCTTTTACCAGGTAACGGGACGATATCCCACGTTAATTTCTAAGGCCGTTTTGGGGGTATCCAACTTTAGCACATCTGCTGAAGTGTCGATATTTGCGCTCCTGACATCATTACGTGATTCTCCGGTTCTATGATCGTGCCTTGTATTTGCCGGCTTGCCTTAGTTGTGGATTTAGTTGCACCTGTGTCGAAGACTTCGCGGATCTTTCTTTCGTCACCCAATTGTCTAAACCGCGATCGAGGTGGTTGTCGCTTTGGTTTTTCTTCTTTTATTTTTATAGACTCTTTGCTGGTTTGGTCCCGCGAGTCAGCCTCCTCGCCATTGGTGGATCGATATTCCTTGGCCTCTACGATATCACAAAGGCCTTCTGGTCACGCATGCTAGACCATCGATGATGACCAATATGGTAGTGTATTCCTTCCCATTCCTGATGGTTTGGGATTCTGGTTGCTTGCGTCGCCTCAATCTGTACAGTTAGGATAGCAAATAGACTAGAAATGTCGCTTCATTTTTGCAAAATATCAACAGTTCTTGCGGATGCTGCAGCCGTCGCAACATCTGGACTCAGATTTCTTTTTTATGTAGAGCTGTCCTCGATTCCGAATTGCTGTACGTATTTTTTGCTCCATTTACGGATTTTGCTTATAGTTTCGCAGTAGAGATCATGTTGCCCAACAGTTCTGGCTATTGGTCAGGAAGGTGAGAGGTTTACGTCTATATGGTAAAGTAATTGCTGGGATAGCACTGTAAAGTAGTGCTTTACCCGTCCAATATTAGGTTCCGGCAAGGGACACTCGAGTCTACGATCTTCCATGCTTTGTGGGTCTTTTCCTCCGGCAGATGCTAGTGATTTTCTGGGACCTTTTTTCGTCTTCAAGATGTCTCAATGAAGAACAGTGGAAGCAAAATATTAGCTCAAATATCTGTAGTGTAACACGTTGGCAGAAAGTCATGAGTGATATGGCCATCTTGCTTTAGTCCAGTTCGACTTGTCCTGGGATATGCCACTGATCTCGTTCCTATTCAAGCATTGTTTATTTTGTTTTTATGGGGGTTTCAGACTCGTAATTTAGTGGTAGTAGAAAACCAATTTGCGAGCAATTTGTTTTAGCTTCTTCCGTTGAGAGCCTTGTGTTCACCGAAAAATGAGGGTCAAAAGGCGACGTTTACAATAAGCAACAACCAGATTCTCGCGTCATCAATGGAAGCCGTTACTAACAAAGATGAGCAGATTGCTTTGTTTATTGACCATTCAAAGGAAGGGTAATGGCTTTGGAAGACACCAAAGTCATCGCCACACATCAAGTAGTTGCATAAACAACGCATCCACTGTCCCAAGGAAGCACTCACGAGCCAGCAGCGCCAGCCATCAGCTACCATGCTACTAAGAAACTGCACTTGACATTCTTAGCACGTTCAGCTGGATTTGGAGTTGCAATTGGTCTGAGACCAGGAATGCACTTGTTGACCAGTCAATTGTTTCCAGGACTAAATGTTGGAACACTGATCTAAGGCAGTTGTTTAGCAGAGAAGATGGAATCAAATACAGTCCCATATGTAAGAGGGTCCTGGCACGCGACTTTTCCAAGTGGTTCACGGGCACAAGGTGAAAGCAAACTCAGGCATTATTCTCACGCATTTTGTTGTGAAGGATTCGGAGGTCCTCCTGTCTGACGCATACACGCTTTTCTGTGCCATAGATATGTTGCAAGCAGTAAAGCTAGGATAGAAGCCGTAAAAATTTGTTGGGTTCGCATTCTGCTGCTACTGGTATAGCGTCCCATCGCCCTCAATTTGGCTTGGTCCAAAGGCCAGCATACAGTTCATGGGCTAGATCAACACAGTCATTGCTAGACATCGAGTAACCACCCAAGCAAAGTATTAAACAGACGAATAGGGATCACGATAAGCGTGATACAAAATCGTTCCTCACTAAAACTATATATGTGCTCCAAAAATGGTTTACAAGGATATCCCTCAGAATATCACAGCGTTGTGCACTATTTTGAGGAACATTTTATTCATAAAAATTTTCAACTTCACTTCGAAAATGGGCACAAATTTGAAGAAATTCCTCGATATGAGCTTTAACTGTTATTGGTCATTGGAAGTAAGTATAGTTGATTATGTGCTGATTATCTACTCATTGCTCTGGAATTGTCGTCTCATACGTGATGGATAGATTTAAGGCATCTCCGAATGCTATCGATTTGTGCTATTTTATCAAACAACACAAGGTAATTCTATTGATTATTAGCTTATATTTGTTCAGAAATTCGAACCTCCCAGTGGTGTCCCACCAATGTGTAAGTAGTTCATTTCCCTCATTCGACCCCTTTAGATTTCGCTCTCGGGATTAATCACTGTGCCGACGGTTCTGCTTACTTAGAATACGGTCGTATAAAGGTCGCATGTTGTGTCTGCGGTCCTATTGAAGTGCGGTGCAAATTGTTTAAACTCATATGTCTAGCTAAAACAAGATGGGCAACTCGTAACTTCATTTCGATTTGCTCCATTTTCCTCTCAAGTCAGATGCGATAGTCTCAGGGATGCCGAGGAAAAGCGTCTGAGTCAGCTACTTCTTGCCGCTCTCGAACCATCCATCATTCTTGTGAGCTAAAGGTTTGTAAATGTTATCCGGTACGAACTTAGCTGTTCGCATTTCCACTTCCATTTAAAAGGACAGTTTTCCCCGCGGCAAGTATCAGATAGCCGTAACCATCCTAGATGATGGTACGGAGCTGACCGATTACATCTGCAATACATCCTCTTGTTTATCCGCTGGGATTACGTGCGGAACTCTTGCACTGGTTCATGCTGGTGTTCAAATGTACGATCTGGCCATTGGGCTGGACGTAGTCTCAGCAGCACTCAATTCAAGCACTTCTGAGAGCAATGCGTCGGTATCCTCGATTGCAGTAATGCCCCAACTGCGCCAAGTGACTATGTTCAACGGAACATCGTTGGAGCTTCTTTCTGTGGGTGATCTGCGGAAGGTTATGGAGGAAGCTTTCACGAGAGCAGAATCAGTTTATAATACCATTCAAGATGCCCTTTACTCTATGATGAAGAACGAATACGAGGCATTGGAAAAGCCGGAATAAATCTTTTGATACATTCTAATATTTTGCCAAACTTGATCAGGGTTTAGTACTTTTCAGTTTACCTTAACAAGAGCCTTTTGCTGCAGTTTCGCGACTGAGTTGGAGAGGTTGAAGCATTTAAATAAAGCAATGCTTTGCGTTATTATATAAAGCAAAATAGTTGTGTTAAGGATGGTGGCTGACTGGATTCTTGCTGCATGCATAGACTTCGGATTATTCAGAATTCTAACGTAGGATTTGTGGTGGTCGGAAGTACTTACCACGTTATGAGGCCTCTTTGTAGCTTTTAAACCATTTACAGTCACACCTCTTAACAGTACTGCGACAAAATTTCTCACCGCCTATGAGCGTCTCCAGAGTCAGCTCTTTCCCCAAGTGGTCCTGAGAGTCCGAGCCTTGTTGCTTCCTGCAAGCATGAAGGCGTGATAACAACTTTCCTTATTGGGTAACTTTTGATCCTACGCTAGGGAGATCTATTAGCTACGAAGCAACAGAAGACGAGCCTGCGATGACTGTGCTCTGAGTGCTTCCATAAAATTCCAACTGGATGATAGTGTCACTCCCTTCAATGACATGTAAACGCGTTTTGCGTTCCATTATCTCTCGTGACAGTTGGTAGACCAAATTTGGCAAGCTCAAATATGTGAAACCAGATCATTAGGGGAAAGCGAAGCTTGCAAAACACCCATTGCCCGCGTACGCATTCTGAAACGCTCACTACCGTAGGAGCGCCTTATCCACTCAGCGTATGAGATCTCCAACACCGCCCACCATACCGATGCTTTTCAGGCTAACCCAGATGAAGGTATGTAGCCACCAGTTCCAAAGAGATCAGAGTAACCGGCAACTGTAGTTGTAAAGCAAATTTCTGAAGTAACTGCAGTGGTTCAAATGCAACAGGCCAAGAGGGCCAGAGCCGCGGTAATCCCATCATTCGGCACAACACTTAAAACCGCCTATTTCATGGCTGACGACAGCCTCTTAGTCCTCCTGTGAAGATTAGCTTGAGAGTAAAAATTACAAACATGAAGGTTGGTAGAAAGCCTCACTCACAGATTCCACCAGAAGTGAGGCAACACTATCCTACAGAAGCATCACCCAACCGGCAACAGAGAAGCCGAGGGCCCGAAGACTACCCAAAATTTCGACAAGATAAGCCAAAAGGGTTTATATCAAGAAACGAAACTATAACTTACTACCTAACCTAATGAAAAGTATTACAAAACAGGCAAAATTAACCCATAAGGACAGGGAAACTCGCGTGAGAAACAACTCCTGACAAGTGGAAATAGAGGAGAATCGAAGGAAATGATTTCCTCATAACTTTATTTACAAACTCCTTAGGCCCATGAAGCATCGGTCTTCACATCGTAAGCCGTCCAACTACCGCCAGCACCACTAACACCAAGTTCTGGCATTCCAGCGACGGGAAGAGATGCTTCAGCTGCCCATTCCGCTGCTTCCGCTTCCGCTTACAAAGCAAAAGTAAATTAATAAGAATCAGACTTTGTGCTCAAGCTAATTTTAAAATCGAAGACTAGACATACCTGCATCAGCCGTCCCTTGCTCAAAGGGAGCTTCTTGTGCCTCACCCTCAACGCCTTCAGGGGTCTCATCGACGTGCTCCCTCATAAGGAAAAGATCCATCATGACATCCCAAGGCTGGGATCTAGGATCAAGGCCGCGCATACGACGAACCTCGCGGGCCAACATCCAAAGCATAAGCGCAATGGAGTATTTCTGCACAATATCACAAATAACATTATCAAATTAAAAAACTTACATCATTGTTGCATGGTATAGCAATATCAACGCATTGCAACGGAGAATCGGTATTGCAAAATGCAATGACAGGGATATTGACCGCAGAAGCCTCTCGAACAGGCTGGTGGTCAGCCCTGGGGTCACAAACAATGAGAAGGCGTGGCTCTTTGAATCCAGACTGAATTTGATTCGTAAAAGCTCCAGGTGTAAAACGACCAGGGACAGACGTAGTCCCAGTGTAGTGGGCGAATTTGAGAGCACCACGTTGACAGGTAGGCTGGCCGCCAATTATGACAATATCGGCAGGATTTTCAATAGCACAAATTGCTCGCGCCGCAAGGAGTAATTTCTCCCAGGTTTTGTTCAGATGAATGATATGGTTACCTTCATCATTGCGACCGTACACATACTGCTGCATTTGATAGTTCACGTTCGTGCTTCCAAGATGAACCTTGGCCGCGACCATCAACTTAATATCATCCTCCTTAAGCTCAAGAGCTTCGATTCCACCCGACATCCTAGAAAAGGACTGAAAACCCGCGAATCACGAGTCGATTTCGAAGAAAGTACCTCCCCGACGTCATGAAAATATAAACAATTGATAGGGACAACATAGGATTGCAATAGAGAACACATGTAATACCAAATTTTCTGTGAAACGCATGAACTAAAATCAAACATATAATTTTGATTTGGACTGCACTTGTTTTCCAACCAGAAAAACAGGTCCTTTGCCTAAGACAAAATTAAAATTATACAATTATGAGTTTGACACCTTTTTTTAAGTTATGGCAATAAATCTGGCACTGCTGTAGTCTCTTGCATCTTTCTACTATGCAGAGGACAATTAGGGTTAAATACTTGTTATCAGGAAGCAGTGCTTTGAAATCCAGCTCACATCTACAAGACCAAAAGGTGCACCAGGGGAATGGCCAGTGATTCACATAGTCGCATAAACTGTGTTTTATTGACACGAATCCCACGGGTTGTTTGTGAGTACCTGAAGTCCTGCGGTCACCCTGGTACTCGTCTTACCCCTGTGGTCTGGCCACTAGAACAAGCCTAGCGCAATGCACGGTTTATATGACCACCTGATGTCTAGCGGTCAATTTAAGTCTCACTTTATTCTTGTATGTGTGAACTGTCCTTCGGGCCATGGCTTAGGCCTAAAGTATATGTATTCACTGTAATGATTTGTTTATGCGACTATGTGACGTTTAGCAGTCACTTTTAAATTTGTCTGGCCCCTGTACACGTGGGCTGGCATTCGGGCTACACTCAGAGCCCATTTGCTCTGTCGTTTTTCAAATACGTGTATTCAACCTCACTTATGCCTTCTTCCGCCCTGTGGGAAGACTCGGGACGCTGCAAGGACCAGACAAATCCTTAAGTGACCGCCAAACACCAGGTAGTCACATTTACAACATATTTCCTATACAGGATATTGGCAACCGAAGTGACACCGCTATGAACCATCTGGAAAAGTTATGCCCCCTGCTAAATTCGAGCATTTATGTCGGAAATGACTCTGCGGTTTCCCTTATATGCGAAACTATGTCTGATCCAGTTTCCTCTATAGCATTTGTTTCCTAGAAGTAAATGATGGTCAACAGATGTATACGGCCCCAAGTAGAGCTGTTACTCTAAACGTAACTCCATATCCAGTTGAAGCTACTGAGTAGACCATGTGCCATTCCTGTCTTATGGCAGCTGCTGACTGGCACGGCTGGATCGTGGGTGCTTTCTTGCAGTACAGAATATGTTATGATGGTTGACACGGAAGGTGTACCAGGGGGCTCGCCAAGGCCGTCGCACAAAAGAAAGGGGATCGGTGTAATACTTTGTCTTTGTGGCTGCCTGATGCTTGGCGGTTTCTTTAGGATTATTCTAGCTATTGTGCACGTGAGCTTGCCTCCGCACTAAGCCCAGGCTTATTCCCTTTGTTCTCTCTGAAATTCATGTAGTCAGATCCACTTAATGCATTTCTAAATTCGGTGGGAAGCCTTAGAACGCTGCATCCTTTCGAATACATGTATTCTGCCCAACTTTGTACCTTCCTCAATCTGATGGAAAGTCTAGCGTTGCTACACCGGTAGCAGCAGAAAGCGAACCCAACAAATTTTTACGGCTTCTATCCTAGTTTTACTGCTTGCAACATATCTATGGCACAGAAAAGCGTGTATGCGTCAGACAGGAGGACCTCCGAATCCTTCACAACAAAATGCGTGAGAATAATGCCTGAGTTTGCTTTCACCTTGTGCCCGTGAACCACTTGGAAAAGTCGCGTGCCAGGACCCTCTTACATATGGGACTGTATTTGATTCCATCTTCTCTGCTAAACAACTGCCTTAGATCAGTGTTCCAACATTTAGTCCTGGAAACAATTGACTGGTCAACAAGTGCATTCCTGGTCTCAGACCAATTGCAACTCCAAATCCAGCTGAACGTGCTAAGAATGTCAAGTGCAGTTTCTTAGTAGCATGGTAGCTGATGGCTGGCGCTGCTGGCTCGTGGGTGCTTCCTTGGGACACTGGATGCGTTGTGATGGCTGGCGTCGCCCCAGAGAAGAGAGGAGCAGTGCAGAACTTCGTTTAAAAAACTATTCGATGTCAGGCAGCCGCCTTGTTCTTCACTCTGTCCTTGTACTCTTAGGCTGTTCTTCAGGCCAAGCCAAAGTTCAATCTTTTCTCATCCTTCTATTTTTTGTGTATTTAGCCTAACGTAATGCCCTTTTCAGCTGGTGGAAAACAGATTCGCAAAAGACTTTACTTTGCATGCTCGTGGCTTCTTGTTTGCTGGCCATGCTCAGGTTGATGAAGTTAACCTCATTTTCTGATGACTACGGTAAAAGACCATTTACGACCTAATGACGCTCAAAACCGTTTCCGGTAATTATACGTCCCATTAAAGGGGCCAGCAACCTCCCTTTTGGTTTAGCAATTACGTAGATTAAGAAAACTTCAACTACTCCAAACTGTCCCAGGTAGTAGAAGAGATTAGGTGTGGCTAAGAATTCTTACATTTACAAAAAGGGAAAAGGACTTGTGGCCTTGGCTTCGCCTGAATGCCAACCCAAGCAGCAAAGTGCAAGATGACTGCTAAAGCAACCACCAGTCATACATGTAGTCGAGTAAACAAGAAACTGCAATAACAATAAGAAATATTTTGCAGAAGCGTTCTCTAGTTGAACCAAAACTCCTTCAGAGGATAATTAACCTCTTTGGATCGCCTTAAATCGAGGATATGTTCGACTGCATTCGGTTACCATTCCGTATTCAAAAATCAAGTACTGGTAAGCTTTGTGCACCTTCTGTGCAAAAATTCGACTCCAATTCGTGCAACCATATGCGTTTACGTAGAGTAGTATGAATTTAGACCTCTTTAGAAGATTATTGCGTCAGTAAACGGAGTCTGAACCGGTGACTACCTTACCGGTGATTCCTATTGCACCTCTGATGGTGCTAATGGAAGTGTAGACCTACGACTTGGTCTCTACTTTCCGCGATGTCATAGCTTCTACGATTTTAGGTAAAGTTGGTACCACTGCGTCTGCGGCTGCAGTGAAAGCTAGTCCAACCACAGCCGCAACCAAACCTGACAGAATGCTAACATTTTAGTCAACTAAGCTTGTTAAGAGCATCGATCTAAGGCTGCCCGAGGTTATGTTAGCTCTTCACAGCCAAACCATTCATTTGCATAATATAAAGATGAACTATCAGTGAGACAGCTCGGGATCGTTAAACGTTGATTAATTCGAAATTGCACACTCATTTCGTAAATGTACGCGTCAGTCGCGTAAATACCGTCTCTTCGGCGAAAGGGTGAGCTAATTAAAGCCTAGATTGACGCTTTGACACCGAAAATGGCAAAATGTTACCATTGTGACAGTTCTCCCTATTCGTTGACTCTACCTGTGTTTTGCAAAAAAAATTTATTAGTCTCTAATCTCCTTCCCCACTCTCACGGCTGGTCAGGAATGCAGGTGTGGCTCAAGCGGTATCAACGCGTCGCTATTCAATAACAACAAGAATTGCAGTTTCGAAATCCTTTGTTTCAGAAGTAATTCATCTCCATTCAGAGTCATGGTGGAAGCAAGATAAAATTTGTCAACACAACTGTTTCACTCTGGTTTCCGCAGGCATCAATGCCACCGGTTTATTTAGTAGCATGCATATACTAGAGGACAACTTGCTCCAACTTGTATGATTGATTTAATGACAAATTTAGGCTTTATACCGACAGAGTGCTTTCATTACAAAGCCAAAAATACGACCATTGAGGGCCGTACCGAAAATGATAAAGTGACCGGAATGCATGAAATTGTCAAGCGGACGCTAAGCAATTAAAGCTACAGCTAAAACATGTCTTGATGTTGCATCCAATTGCAGCCTTCCAAATGAATCCTGAACTCTTAAGAAGCCATTCTGGCATCGTGGAAGAGATACTACCAATGCAACTGAGTGTCTAGTTTAACTCGCAGTGCTCGAAATCCAGACCATCAGAAGAAATGATAATACAGTTCGACTTACAAGCCCGTATGACTTAATGAAGGGCACGAGAGCTACAAAGGCACAACGTTGACGGTATAAATAGACATAGATTACAAATAATGGAATGAACTTGCACGAGCATCTGGGCATGCTTCGAGCAACCAATTCACACAATATCAGCACGTGAGTGATGCATTACATTAAACTGTAGGCAGTTAGCAGCAAAGCATCAGGCTTTTTGAAGCGCGAGCAAACTTATTCGTTCTTCGACCATATGTACCTAAAGGATCTACCTATACAAAGTCGGCGATTCCGAACTTTAGAACAATTTTATTGGTCATTGAGGGACACTCTGATTGGTGGAACAAAGCCCAATCAAGTTCGACGTAGTCCCTCAGGGTAACGGTTAAATGACCGTTTCAAGGGCACAAACCAACAGAAACGAGAGCTCGACGATACTGAGACTACTACTTGTGGCATAAAACCGTGATTAAGATTTAGTCTCAACTATTCCAAAGACGGCGATGAAATGGCTGACGGAGGGCAGATTTAGTGGTCACTGAACTATGCCACAAATACAACAACAACCCTTGCTTCCGGTTTAACTATTTTACAGAGGACACATTCTACTAACGAAAATTAATCCATGGCGACAATGACCTCGACAGCCATGCAGTGGACCATGAAGCAGACATCCCAGAGCATCAACGTAACAAACAGCTCCTACAGTATTTATTAAAATGATGAAATAAACGGAAAAAACCCGCCTTGCGGTAAAATGAAGGTATAGTTTACAAAATGGAAGACACTTATTAAAAATATATATAACACAGTCACAGGTTCTTATAAAAAGGGGCAAAAGGTTGGGCCTCAAAATACAGGAAAAGTCAGGGTGACGTTTGAGACAAATCAACATCAGCTGACGGGGGCTTTACTGAGACTTCTTTTGGCAGATATGTTTCTTGATTTGCATTTTGCTTAACCAGGGAAGATCTAAGCAGATGAAGGCAGATACGGAAGTAAGTAGAGCAGTGAAAAGCAAAAAAAAATTTGAAAAGCATGAACATAGGAAGCATACTCGGGTTTTCGAGCATCAGCATTATCAACCACCCGGATAGAAAACGAAGGATCTAAGTACTCCGTGTCGAAAACTATTTGAGAGCGACAAAGACGCAACTTAACGAGCAGATTGTAGATAGCATTGGATGCAATCGATACCGGTGGTTCTAGGTGATTCGGAAAGAAACTATGATAAGCATGGAATGAGTTGATGCGAACCCAAAAACGTACCCAGAAAATTTAAAGGCATCTGATGTGTCGCCGATGTCTCCATTGCTGTGTCTTTGAAAGAACCGAAGATATACCCAGGTGACAAATGCCCCATATGTTAATAAGAGGAAGCGAACATAGTCGATGATCCGAAGAATAGCGAAGAGGAGGAAACAAAAGAAAATCGTGAACGCGATGTGCTTGGTGCGAAACTTTCCCAGTGGAAGGTTCGCAAGAACATTATTCGGAGTGAGCTGACGAGCAACAACTAATGCGGCGCCGAGAAGGGAACTCAAACCGCAAATCGGTGTTGTCCAGAGAAGGTTAGTATCAAATGTACATGCATAGCCAATAAAGAGTGTACAAACTGCAAGACCTGTTGAGATAAGTTGCGATATAGCACAACAGCGAACCACCTCAGCCATTTTCCACGAAGGAAACATTACCACATCGACGAGATAAACGGTGGTCATGTCAAGCAGGACATGAAGAATACGAGTGTTGTAGAAGCTGAAAGTTAGTAGCGTCCATACCCAGCAATGTGGCGGAAGAACACGAGCAACGGTTACAGCCAAATAGGGGGTACTATAACCAGTAAAAGATATGCCGTAGAAGATGATTTGAAGGATCAGCGTTAGAATAGCCCAAACGTCAAGATGAAACCGCCGAAACGAAGTCATCAGACAAACCCTAGAATTTTCAGGGACGATGTGATTGGAGTATAGGTAGGGCAAGCAATATTATTGCGGTCAAAGCGCCAAAAATCTACTTAAGTTACCAGGATGGACTGGGCAGAACAAACGGTAAAGCTACAGCAGACGCATTCAAATAGCCCGGAGTATTCAATAAGGATTGTAAATTATTTTAATCTCAAATTATAAGGCAACCGCAAAGTGAATATCGTTGCTTATTAATGGAGTTTTCGCATTTAAGTTAAGGGCAACACTGCTATTATTTAAGGTTAGGTGATCTCTCTATTTTTACAGCGTTATTTAGCCAAACTCTTAGATATTACTGCCTCGTTATTATGTTTCTCGCATGTTTACTTCAAATCCACAATTAAGTTTTGCAGTGATATATAAAGCACTGTACACCATTTTTCGCTTCAAAATCCATCGGGACTAAGGCTGTACGGAAACGTATAACGATATTTGTAGCGTCCCGAGACTTCCCACCGGGTACAAGAAGACATTAAGTTAGTTTGAATACATGCATTCGGAGGAAAAAAAGGGTTGAATCTGCGATAAGTCTGAAGGTCAGCCCACACGCATAAGGACCAGACGAATCCTAATTATGTTCACATAAAATTAAATTTCTGCAGTAGTCTTTCTGCACAAGCGGCATGCTTTACACAGCAATTGTAGCGTCCCGATACTTCCTGGCCGGTATAAGAAGTCAGTAAGTGCAGCTAAACACATGTATTCTGAAGACGACGGGGCAAATGGTCCTTGGCATGCCCTGAAGGCCAGCCCACGTGTACAAGGGCCAGAAAAATCCTCCAGTGACCGCCAAACGTCATGTGGTCACATAAGCAAAGCATTACAGCAATATTCATAAGCTACCTTAGTTGACGGCTCTAACATTTTGTTTATGTGACCACCTTATGTTTGGCCCTCACTTTGCGATTTGTGTGGCCCTTGTATGCGTGGTTTGGCCTCCGGACCGTGCTTAGGCCTAGTCGCTTTGTACTTCCTGAAATGCATGCATCCTGCTCCACTTACTACCTCTTTCCATCCGGTGGGAATTCTAGGGGCGCTGTATCTGCCATCTAAGGTCACTCTTTCAATTACCCCGTTTCCATCGGTATGAGTGAAATGAACTGAATACATATATTCTATGGAAGAAGCGATTAGGCTACAGCTTAACCTGCTGGTCGTCTTGCACGTGCAAAGGCAAGAAAAATGTCAAAGTGACCGTTGGACATACAAGTGGCTACATAAACAAAGTATCACGCTGTGTTTGCACTAAACGTAACTGGGATCAACTGATACTGGATGTATTTACTTATATTATTATTTTCTAGAAGAGGTTAATTTGGTTAGCGTGGTGCCATCATTCAGGAGCAGACAAGCTTAGTTAAACTACTGTCAACTCAAGTTATTTGTAATTAGTGCTCCCGTGACTTGTTGGAAACCCCAAATTGTACTGAACAACATCAAAGTTTATGATCTAGCCTTATTATACGGTCGGCGCATTAACATCCCTTTCACCATTATGTTCTTATGATGCTCCGGCTCACCCCTACTTCTTTTTACATTTGCTACAGGTGCATGAGCCAATTCCTCATAATATTCTGACAAAGACACTCTTGTGGAGGTGAATTCGTCCACGAATTCTATGAGCTGAATAATAATCGAAAGCCAAGGGTTATTAGTATTTGTGTCCACTTGCGCCGAAGCACTCCGTTTTAAGCCGCTCCCAGAAAAAAATGTTGCCGAGAAGCCGAGGCAAAATGGCAGTTGGGCAGCAACGGAGGAGAATAAGAAGGACGCAGGACGGATTTAACACCATTTACTCTACTCTATTCCACCCGTGGGTGAAAGGAATATATTGGAGTACCATAATTGACCCTGGCAACTTCAATTCATTTACCCTACTGTTCATAATTTCACTTATCTGTGGCTTTCCCTTCCCATAAACTAAAGGCCAACATAAAAGATGGTTTACTTCATTTTTCGAAAAGAGTATGCTGCTAAAAATATATTTGGAAATAGGGTTTTCAAGAGTCGAGGAACCGTTTGTGTTGCGTTGTTCCTCCTGAAGGACTCTGGCATATTTGATAATAGTTATGCACAAACGAGGTCAGTTAATTTAGGAACGGCGTAGCTCTAGCCTTCAGTGCATTACTTTAATTGCATATTATTGAAACATCGGGTAACAATTCACACCATTTGAGTGAATTTGCTTGTACGTTAAGACGCCTCAGACGAACCCAAATTTCTATCTTCCCCGAATTCTCGTCCTTACAAAATGAAAGTCTTTAGCATGCGATACAAAGCGAAGACTCTTATTGTTTTCAATTAGAACGGTTTTCTTCTGTAGAACTTCTCATGACTTTCTTTCTTTCGAAGCTTCTTTAGGCACATTCGAACCAATAAAGGCTACTTCATGTTTGTTGATGTGGTCTGAGTCGGTCTGCCCTTACAAAGGGAATTTCTTCAATTTGTGGATAGTTAAAAGTCCTGTTCCATGTCTACTGGATTCTATTCGAAGGAGAAGCGGATTTGTGGATGTTTAAGGTTGATATAAAAAAAATTGGCCAGACTGGTGTCAATGTAAAGCTTTAATGATATGTCAAAAGTGCGATCCCTTAAAAAACACTGCCAGTGGTCCTGCGATGACTGCTAACTTCTTCCCTCCAGTATCCACCTAACTTAAAGACAGATCATCGGTTGTCTAGGAAAATATTCTGTTCTCACGTTTGGTTTTTGGTGGGAAGATTAGTAAAGTAACTAGTTGACGGACTGTCAAATTAAAGTGATTCGCCCACATTCCACTGCCAGTAGGTCAACTTCTGAATTTCTTGATTTTTTAGTCTTTGTGTGAGAATGGGACAAGAAAGAAATGAGGAGCCTCACATTACCTTTGCAAACCTCTCAGCTCCTCCAAGTGATCCATGGTCACGGATTAGAGTTGCCCAAGACGGCGTCTACGGTTACTGTTGATAGTTCAAACCCTCGCTCAGCAATATTTTGGATTTTAGAGCATTCCAGTTCCTTACCATCATCTGATCATGTGTTCTCACATGCTCATATGCATGGATCAACCGAAGTTTTCATTTCTCGCTGATTATCAACTCCTACTCACAACAATGCCAAGAAAGGTAGGCTTTACAGTCCTTGAGAATCTCCATGCCACCCTTGGGGTGAGCTAGAAGTCAGAGCGTTCTCACGACCTTTAAGCTACCGACAACTCTACTTCAATGGTAATGCAGCTCGTTATGGATCTAAAGATGAGCTCAGATGCCTTAAATCAAAGGTTGGTGAGAATGGCGTAAATGCCAAGCGTGTATGGCCAGTGACATGACGACGAGACTAGTCGAAGTGATAAGGGAGGCACAACGGGAGCCTAAGCACATCATGATCATTTCTTTGTTGTAAGGATGTTACATAGGGCCATCACCTCCACCTTGATGCGAAGATTAACGTAGAGGCAGTAATTCTACGTATCATTCTAGACAATGAGAAGCCATCTACACATTAAGAATGCAACCTTTCCAGAAAGGCCGAAAATCAACCGCAAACTCTAATAGATCTAAATTGTTTTTCTTAGTCAAAATGCTCAGCTCGACTTGATTCTGAGAAAACCCAGAATAAGCAAAAAATGGTAAAGCCTCGCGGACGTCCAAATGTGGGGCGCACACCAACCAGATAGTACTCTCGATTGACTGACTCACTACAAAGCTCTTCTCTCTTGGTGAGTTTCGTTGTGTCCACTTCAACGGGAGTTTGGCATGGAAAATAACTGTTTGTGGGGTTTTTTGCTTGCAGATCCCTCCTTCCCGCCATAAATCACACCTGATGCTATTTGCAGTCTCTTGGTTGACTTGACGCGGGAAAATAAAAAAAACTATGAAAGTAGCAGAACTCCTTCTAAGTTCTTCCTTTCCTAGGTCTTTTTTCTTAATTTATGGCTAGCATTCGTACATGTAACGGTGCCATAGGCCTTACGCACCAGCCCCCATGGTATGCAAACCAAGTTGCGGCCACATTTATTGATTTTTGGATTTCATTTGCCGATCTTAGTTGAGCAAGTCCAATAATCAATAATTTTTATGTGACACATGAGCATTTGGCCCACAAACAACTTATTTAACGCGATGGTTGCCTTGTTACATTGCCTTGGTCAATAGGTGGACGCGAGAAGACTTCTTAGCCTTTTTCTCTTTTTGCCCATCTTGGACTCCGGCTCTGGTCTTCTTGTAAAAAGGGCAACAAATCAAACGCTGGAAGCTTTCGCATTTGTATTTTAAACGTATGGCGGTGAATGGAGCTGCCTTTTGAATGTGTTTAGGGCCGCGATAAAAGGAGGGAATAGGTCCTCTAAACTACAACCGAATTGAAATTAATATTACGTAATAAGAAAAGGAATAAATTTTTAAATTTTAAGTCAGAAGTAGGAGAAATGGTAAAACAGAAACCTCACCATAAGGTTCCCGGCCTTATAGGTGTTGGTGTAAGCGCAAGCGCTACATCTATAAGCGCCCCTTTGAGGACTTTAATCGAAAACTAACAGGATTTAAGAGCTTCACGAGGCGCAAAGTGGGTCCCCGTCGTCCCAAATTACTACTGTCCCTGACATGATAGAAAGTGGCCTAGTGTCAGTTAGTCGAAATGTTCTCGTGCCTTTTGGCATGGGTCAAGCGTCGAAACATGCAAATGAATCGTCTAATCAAAAGAAATTTCAACTGTAAAGAGGTCGGTTGAGCTCGACTGACACTAAGCTGATGTGTTTTAATCCTGAAAATGTGGATGGAGTGGGTTCAAGGGTTGATAAATCTTGTTCGAGCTGCTACGATAAATCTGATAAAGACGGTTGTGATTGAATGTATCAGAAAAAAGCCTGCACCACAGTGTGGTCAACTTATGGCAAAAATGATTTAATTGTAGAGGTCCCATCACCTCTGCCTCTATTACGTTTGCATTAGTTGCGCAGATTTTTTTCTCCCTGTTAAAGCTGTCAGGGCCATTGAGTCGTTAAAGAGTTTGGCTGCTACGTAGGAGCAAAATCTGTCTCCTTTTTAAGTCACAAAATCTTGCCCTTAAAGGGGGTGCAGGTGTTTTCAGTTTTGCTCTTCTGATGTTTCTCCTGATGCTCATCACCATAGGACTAATTCATGACAAGCGGGTTAGCCCATCCTAGCATGGACTTGTGTTAGGCCACGATGCAGGTTAATAGGTGGGTGGGTTCGGGATGAAGGCGTGAACACAGAGTGGATAAACGAGCAAAAAATAGAGAAGCAAGTACTTGAGGGGCGTGGAGTGGGAAGGTGAAAGAAAAATTAATCAAACTGAAGCCACCTGTAAAGCTGTTTAAAAATGACTCATAAATGTAAATACTTTCAATTTTTGCCACATTAATTTGCGACTTTCAGGGATGAACTCAAATCCCTCAGTCCTAGATTATTGAATAGGTTGGAGTTTTAAATAGTTCGCCCTCCACCACTGACACCATTTTTCTTCATTCAAACAATAGGTAAGCAGGCAATCGACTGAAGCTTCGCTAATTAAGACACCACTGCCAAAATTAATTTTAATGTAGAGGATAGTCTAGGCATGCCTAGGAAGGCAAAAAATGGCGTTTCTGTTCATTGGACGTAAATACACCCCGTAGGTTAGTTGTTGGAGGGGTTTAAAGTCGTCTCGGGACGCTAGTCTTCAAGGGAGAAAGTTTGACCCTCCCAAATCCAATGTTGAGCCTCAGGGGTGACAAAATAAGTTGTTAAGGAAGAATAGCTCGACCAATCATCCATCTTCATGTCACTCCCACCACAGTGGTTCCATTGAGGGCAACTCGAATCATTCAATTGTTCACAATGATGGCGAGAAATACATTCATCATCGTTGGTGTCAATTTCACCGAGTCTACTGCAAAGGATTTAAGTTCACGTTCGTATACTATTGTGCTCTAACTTCCTACGGTCTCTTTCACGATAGTTTTCTTGTAGTAGGTCATCACTTCCTTGGTCATAGCCTAACATCCTTACAACTACCTCCAAAGATCAAGTAACTGTAAAAACTAAAATTAAAAGAACTTTAGAACGAATCCCAAGGGTGCAGTATACGTAAGCCAAATTTCTCAAGATATTACTAACCTGGGATTGCAGAGAAATATCAAATGGCACAAAGTCAGGGGGCGAAAGCGGAGAGGGGAGAGGGAAAGGGGGCTGGAGAATCCCTAAAGGGTGGACAAAAGCAATACAGCTCCATTCCTTCGAAAAACCCCTCTCCAAGGCGGCAAATACTTCCGGCAGGCTATGGATGAATTGAAAACCTCATTTTATGCAGTGAAATTATACTGCCCCCTTGAGAAATGCAAAGTTCATCCTACTAGAATTATTATGAATATTAGCGCCTGGAAAGTCTATTTTAATGGAGAAATTTTACACCCTTCTTTGCGTCATCAGCCAACAAACTGTGGAGAACATTAAAAACAGAGTCAAAATAAACTTCTAAGGTCTTGAGCAGACGGGCCCTTCTAAATGCATGGCTCAGCTTCTAGCATTTTGGCAACTGAGGCATTAAAACGTCCGTTGAGAGGGGCAAACAATGCATCCACCTGAATGCCTGCAAGCCGTCGCCATGACCTTCATTTCACTGGAAGGAGCACTTGCAACTCTGAGGATCGAACTTCCACTCATGGCATTAGCATTCGAGATGACTTTTCGGCTCCTTTAAACACATCTTTCAGATGTTTTTGTGACTTAAAATCCAATTTGTTAAAAGAATGTGATTTTTTCCTTTTAAAGCAATAAAGCTGTTTTAGGATGTGCCCAGACTATGCAATCTGGTGGTTTTTTTCCACAACCTCATATAGTCTTTTATCAAAACGTTTTTTTGCGACTACTTCGTGTATTCATTTTGTTTAATGTTTACTGCTATGCAGTGTGCGGAATGATGGAAGTTGATCAGGTAGAAGGTAAATTTGCTAAAAACGTTCTTTGATGCGCTGTTCACTTATCATTGAGAAGGAGAGGAGTGAAACGGCGCCTTCTTTGGTCGCAACCCTCTCCACCTTCCACACGAGGGGCTGAAAGGTGGGATTCAAAGAACATCCTCAATTTTGTAGCTTCTTCTAATAGGTTGACAATTTCAGATGGCAGACGAAATTGAGCTATGCTCGAATCATTAAAAGATGCCCACGCATTTCCAAGGATGTGGACACTGTCAAAAGATTCGTTGCATTGCAACAGGACTACAACTGTGGGTGTGCGAGGCATGACAGACCGCCAAACTTCACCAATGAGATGTGAGGCGCCTCAAACCTGTAATTCTCCTGAGATTTTATCATGCGGCCGTCTCCTGATGGCGATGAGAACAAAGGAGTAAAGAAGGAGGCGTGCGATGCCATTGTATGTTTTCACAATAAAACACTGTGCTGAAGTTAAAACGCAACTGAATACGATGACGAAAATTGGTGAGACAGATGTCAAAGGGGGGTGGGGGGGTTGCATACTCAACCAAGTAGAAGGAAATTCAACGGTTGTTGCTCAGAGTTGGCTGGTTGTCTCTACAAACACGTTTTCTTTGAAGTAATTGACAAAAAAAGACTGATTAATAAGAGCCACAAAGACAATGGCTTGAAATGTAGTTTGCCTGTGGTGTGTCTGGTAGTTGTCAAACTCTTCTGAAAGAATTGACGCGAACATTAGTGTGAAATTTCAGGCGTTAAACTTGGCACAAGCGTCAGATGTAGTCTGATTTAAGAAAATGCATGGAGACCCACTCAGTTGCCAGTTCCGATTGGGAGATTTCTCAAGCTTACCAACGATCAAGTACACGGCATGAAGGTGGTAGGACCCCACTTTCACTACTAAGTGGTTTTCATCTGACAAATTACCCATGCACCATCTTGGAGGGATTGATCAGCGATGGCTAACACCCGCTCAACTATTCCACCAGGATGTTAGCTTCTCGTCAATATTCTGTGGCATTGAAGTGCTCTCAATGCCACTTTATGGAACCATAATGTGGAAAACTGAAGACTATCTGATCGCCTCACACCCATTCTAATGGTGTAGACCACGTATGCGTTAAAAACTCCACTGTATCATTGTGAAATTTAAGGGTAGGGAGTCAAAGGTTACATTTTTGTTTTATTATACATGCATCAAATCCCCTCAAAGCCCAATCTCGGCCGAATAGGTGGAATTGTAAAAGTTCTCAACTCAAGGTCATTATTTAGTTGTTGGTGTTGTCGTGACACAGACGATGTGGTTAGAGGAACACATGTAACCGCTGAGAAGGTGCGAATCTTTGGGAGAGCCTCTGATGTTGTCAATAAGTCCAGAGATCCCACCAACTTATCCCTTGACTCAGGAGGCAGGAGTGAAGAGAAGTGGTATTCGGGCTCCATAGCAACACTGGCCTGAGACAGATTGATAACATCACTAAACTTCTCGTGGCTTTGATAAGCATTCGGATGGCAAATAGCCTCAGCTTTGCTGTCTAAATGCTGAAGAGGGTGGCGGCGCTTTACGTAGGTGTTCTTCAGCCGAAGGAGTGCCACCAGCATAACCAGACAAGCAACTGATAAGCTGATGGAGAGAACGGAGAGGATCCAAACTACCGGAAGGAGAGAGACTTGGGTAGAGGGCGTTGATGAAGGGGAGGCAGAAGCGAAAGAGGAGGCGACAACGCTTTTATTGGGGGAAATAGCGCTTTCGAAACTCCGTCCCTTATAAGGCATCTGACATGCGAGTTTCACTGTTTGCCAACGAAACACCTCTACAACTCAAAGTTGAAGTTGAAATACTTTAATGTTAGCTTTTGAGAAATTTGTCCTTAACGCTAGGTAAGAAGTTTTGCCCATGGTTGAGATTCATTCCATAAGTAACTAAAGTGTTCTTTCTGATCAGATACTTCGCTGGATTTTTTTCATTGATAAAATCCACGTTGTGGGTAACTAAAATTGCGGTAAATCAGTGAGAATCATCCACTTCCATGTTCCTTTTTTGCATTAGTTTTAGCAAAAATGCGGTGATTTCAGTTCAGGCATTCGTTTACCTCTTGCAAACCCTATTTCAAAGTTAACGCGCATTTCCATTGATCTCTGTCCCAAGAAGTATGATTTGCGCGACAATAATGCAACACTGCCTCAGCCATTCTATACTTGAACTCACTTAGGTTTTGGATCTCACATATCAACTGTTTGCAACGCTGTTGATAGAACAACCTCATTGTGCACAGACGAAGTATCAAAGCCTAAGTGGTATCTACAACAAGGTAACTGCAGAATCGACATTCTGTACCTGCTTCTCTGAGAGAAATTAGGCCACAACTTATCCAACGAACGTCGAAAGGACGTAAGTACTGATAGCAGCAGCAACGATTAATCTTGTCGACTCAACAACCAGATTAATAAATGCAATCAAGAGCCGAGTATTTTGGTTTGGCCTTAACTTCAGGACTATTATTTTCCAACCTAAAGTCCAGCTTGAGGTAATAATGACGGAGTGATGGAGCTTGTCAGCATCGTAAGTATTGACGATTACAAACAATTCAAGCGTTTTTCAACACTTCCTTACTAACTTGAAGCCGACGTATTCAGTTTATTTATTTACCTGCTTTGCATTATCACGATGCTGTAAAATTTCGCAGTTTAGTATGCATGCAAAAACATTTTATTCCTGCCTATCGAGCAATCTCATTAAGAATGACAACACAATTAAGCAATGACGGTTTCGATTATTTACATGGAAAGTTTTTTTCTCTAAATCAATTGTTTGTCCAAGTACTTCGCTTAATGTGCAAAGTTGTCCAACTTACGGGTGGTAAAAGCATCTGCATCCCGTCCTATCGACAGGTACCTTGCAATTGCAAACCCTTTTTTCTCGTAAAGACTAAAACACAAGTAAACTTGCTTCAGAAACCGGAAACTCTAAAAATGGGTTATGCCATTGCTCCAATTACCTTAAACAGCATCGATGCACCTTTATAATCGATTTTAAAAGCATTTATCGATACACAATGCACTAATCGATAGCATGTTTATTAAAACACCGTAAACAATTGATGAGGCAATCCAACTTGTTTTGCCTAAATATTAGCAAACAAGTAGGTATGAGCAATAAGCACTTGACCAGTCAACGAATAATAAGGATCTGAACATTTTTTTACAACCGACTAAAATCGTTAAAAAAGTGAATGATTTGACGAGAATTTTACTTCGTTCAAACTCACATCCCCACAGTAACAACCTCGAGACTGTTTTTCCCTGGACAAGAAGATCGAGGTCAAGTTGAAGTGAATTTTTTGTACACGATTGACAGCAATTAGCTCCCAAATCAAAGGAAATTAGCCTCTCAAACGTCAGCACTTTTTATCTACCTTTTGGACCAAACCTAGACTGAACAGGTGGAGATGGTGTTACCTGACAGTGAAGCACGCCTTCATGTCAACGATTGCCAAACGCTGACGATCAGAAACAACCACTTCACCGGAAGACGCAAATTCCATTTGCACGAGAGAAGAGGTGAAAGGGGGCGAGAGGTGAATGAAAAAGAGAACTTCAACACCACCGGAAATGAGGAGATTTTTCAGATTTGATGCCATAGGTTCAACATTGTCTTCCAATTTGTGCCCGTAGAAGAGGTCACGTTTTGTTACCAGAAGCACTATCAGTTCACAAGTTTCTACCAAAGGAGTAAAGTGAAGTGTAAATAGTCACATTAAAGCATGACTAGCATGAAGAAATAGACTAATTTTCCTCAAAATGAATCGAAATTTAGTTGTGCAATATTTTAGTGTTGTGAAAGATGATTTTAAGTTTTGAAACAATCTAGGTGTTTTTTATGCCAATAGATCCTCGTCAGTTATACTTTTAGTGGAGATTCCGATGAAGAAGGGAACATAGCCCATAAATTTTGGACAAGACGGAGCGAAGATGAATAACATGATAGCTGCATCATAAATTAGCAAGAACTCTCCTATTCACCCATGGTAAATAGAATTGAGGAAGGAAAAGGCAATTTTGAGAGCTTAACGACTTTCCAAGTCGCATAAGGTGTCGGTTAACGAAGATGGATGCGACCAGCTTCTGTCTACTTCAGAATATTCATGAGACATTGACGTTTCGAAGCCCCTTAAAATTCACTTTTTTGTTGGGTGCAACTCAGTAATAGGTCCTCTGAGGCCAAGGTCAAAGACAACCCCCATTCTTTCTGGTAAGATTCGCAGGTCATTCGGCAATTTGACAACTTCTTGCCCATACCCGTCGAGAGATGGAGGCGTCCTTGCCAGGCATCCTTCGCCTTTTAACTAATTCAGTCAAAGACAGTAGGTGAGCGGTATATGGGATAAAATTACGTGCCTTCCAAAAGTGGACTTATATTTTGGATGATCAGGCAGGGTTTGCTTTCAAATAAGGAAGCTATGTGCTGTCATTCATTAAAGCAACTCCAGATTGACGTCTCAGGAGGGCGATTCAGTAATATGTGCGATGATTGATGTATTTTGTTAATTCTACCAAATGAGCGATAGAAGAAGCGAAAAAGGCAATTGTGATGCATTAAAAAATCGCCACCATTCATCCTCCACATCTTAAAGACTGAAGTGCAATAAAACACCCGGCACGGAAAAGCGTTGTCGAGGTCCCTCCTTTCCTCAACCTCATCCCTCTAGATGCACATGACGTCACTTTTTTCGCCTTTATTCTCTTGGACTTGAGGAGCGGAGCGTAAACGTAACATGCAGAAGTGGAAACCGATACATAAGTGATACTACTTATTTGTATAATTAGCGGCGGGAAATTTGCACGTCAAAACCGTAACTCTATCTCATCTAGGCTTTGCATGTGATTTTCGAGGCTAAAAATTACGGAAAGACCGGAAAAAAGGAGGTAAGCCAATGCGAGAATTATCCACTTCCTTTCCCATCCTAGGGTGTCAGTGCGGATCTTCTAAAAATAAAAGTAGCCCATCCTCATTGACTTTCAAGGTCTCCAATCTTGGAGACATGGAAGGAATCCGCTTTGAGTAGGAAGGAAAGTAGTTTTTCTCAACTTTATACATCAAAAGTCATTTCTCGTCACCTGTAAGCAGGGAAAAAGTTCTAGCTATACGAGAAAATTAACTTTCTCTTGAAAGCTGTCCCCATCCCTTGTTTATGCAGGTGTCAACAAACTGATTGATAACTTGGGGCAGGAAAAAAAGATAAGCTCATGAGAAATTAATCTTCCTTTCCAGCACCCGTGAATTCCCACAGACGCACCTAACCTTTGGGCAAATTTGCTACAGAGACATTTTTGATCAGGAGATTCTACCGCTTTGTAACTGAAGCGACTTCTGTTTGCACCTCAAAGCACACCGACTTAATTCGCTTTTTATTAGGTGCAACAGGCATGTGGACGACATACTGACTGACTTCTATGCTTGACGATGCTTCGACCATTAACTTAGTGGTTGAATAGTTGGTTCTGACCGTCCCTTCCTCACAAGCTTGGTGGCAAGAGACGAGGTTCGACTGACCTGTAAGGAGGTAGAGCACACAAATTTCACGACCTTGTATAAGGCTTCGCCTAGGCGATTCTGGCGTCCTCTCCGCAGTGTCCACAAGCATAGCAACGAAGCGATCCTTGGTCTGGAGAAGGGCGAGCGCTTCACCGCCTTCAGCTGGCATCCAAGGCTGTTGCAGATACAGCCCCTTAATGAATGCATGGCTGCCTGATTGCTTGCATTGCTGCATTGAGGGACAAAATGAAGCCATTAATAATCCTAAGGAGTTACGTTCGCCATTCTGTTGGACAAAACGTCCTGAATATTCAAGTCCCAACAATCGTATTTTCTTAGGACCACCCTTTTGGCTTATTTCAACCTAACTGGGGCCTCGAGGCAACGTTGTGAAGCAAACCGCCTTAACGAGTTCACCATCCTTAACTTCAATTTTCACAGATTTCAGGTTCGTTATGCGACAATAATTTAGGACCCAGGAATGGCGCCTTGGCACTTTAAAATAAAATCGGGCGATAAAGGCCATTGGGAGGATATCGCATTAACTGAAAATCGGTTTGGATATGTTGAAACCTACTGAATTCTATCGCTTAATATTGGCTTTCCTTCCATCGCATGCTGGCAGTTGAAACAAAAGCTCTTGGCATTTTGAAAATTCAGCAAGGGCTGCTCCTTGCTGGATGTTATTGCAAGACTACTCGTAGATCCTCATGATCAAGGAAGTGGTGATTTCCCGTCCTCCGATAATGCCACACCACAGAATGTCAGTAAAAATTGATGGTGGTTCAAGACTAAATGCCTTGAGGACGGGGTCAAGTTCGCTTCTTGAGGATGTGACACCGTACAAATGGGTTGGGTTTTAGTAACGGAGTACTTAAGTATGCACAGTATTTGAAACTATCTTTTCACCAGTCGCCACCTTTCTTTAACAGCACACTTAAATCCTCTACCCTCCTCCTGGGCACGCAAGACTTCATCCTCAAATTTGAGCTCTACCTTCGCTCGAAAGTGTGCACAAGGTATCCAGGTATGCAGGAAGATCTTGTCCTAATCACACAAAACAAGTTTCAGTGTCTCATCTTTCCGTCGATACCATTCTAGTGGTGTCGGTTGCCTTTATTTTCTGCTAGATCATCACAGGCCCGATCGCGGCTGTATAGCTGAAGAGAAAAAAGGAGGAAGAAGTCAAAGGAGCCTCTCCTAAGTAGAATGCCACCGCAAGGTCCTGTCCCTGGCCCCTGACGCCTTACCGTAAAACTTAAACAGGTTGTTGCGACTTCAAATCAATTGGTTGCAAGTGGTCACGCAAGTAGAACACGGTAAAAACTTCTTGAATTTGTAAGATTAAGTGGCGTTTAGTCTGCCCAAAATTTCACTGCATGAGATTTTCTCATATTCATTGTTAAATTCCCCTCCCTTTGTCACAATCTCTTGCCCGTTTTTTTTTGTCGCCTTGTTTCTCTAGCCGCTCCCTCAATGCCGATATCGCATTTTTGAAACATAAAAGCGATTGACTGGCTTCAATCTCCCATCGTGAAAAGGCTGTTCAACCGGCAGTAACGTTTGTAAGTCCATCCTACACCCTCTCCCATCTCAAATTGCAAACTTTGAGAAAACATTCATTCTTTCTCCCATATTCCCATAGCCGCTTAATACCGCCTCTGTAGATCATGAAACCCTCAGTAGGTTCAACAAAATCCCACGTCTACAGCAAACTGATTGCATCACTGGTTTGTCCGCGTCTAGAGGAGAAGACGGGTCGCGAGGGTGAAAAGTGAAAACAATGTCCAACCAAGCAGATTTTTCTGCCTTCATGATGCCAGACACTGCTCTAGCGTTACAGCTTTGTATTTGTGTCTGCTCTCGTCCAGCCCTGATAATAAATATTGGTGATAAAACTATTTTCCCCCTCGTCTCTAATGGCAGCTCCTCAAAAAAAACCTTCTTTCCTACCGCCGGCATAACTTTAAAAATCGCAATCACGGAACAGGGTAAGTAAAGAGGCGGACAATAAAAGCTCCCTATGAAACACAATAACTCGGACCGAGTGTTACTCAGCTTAATTCCCTTTGAAGTTCCAGATTAGGAAAGCAAAGCAATTGAAAGTTATTTCTGAAATACTACTTACAACTTCACAGTTCAAAGGTGCGACCTCTTGGATCCTTGCAGTTTGTGCTCTCGTCCGAAAATGTGGTTTGGCAATACTCTTCAAAGTCTTTGCCTCTAAATACGTCAACGTTAGCATCAATTTTTACTTCGGTAATGACCGGCTGTGACCTCAGGAACCATGAGCAACCTCCAAGTGAGTCCACAAAATTCACTTACTTCATATTTCCAAATGGCTAGGCGTTTCAATATAGGTCAGCAAAAAAGTGCTATTTGGCGTTCCTGTGGAAGATTTCCACAGTTCTCCCATGTTCATACACACGACAAACGTCGTAATCCGCCAGGTGAGTTTGGAACCCGCCGACACCTCAATGCGCTAGAAGGAGCTACTTGCACGCGCTTTCAATTGTATAGTGGGGGGCGAGAGTGTAAGTGTCATGACAACCCAGTCGCCTAAGGAACCATCGAGAGCGTTTAAAAGCCTTTTTAATTTAACTTTGACGAAAAATGATTTAAAAAATGATTTTCGGGAGATTATAAACGTGAAACGTCCAAGGTTAAAAAATAGCAGAAGGAGGTTGCATTGTTAACGAAACTGAAGATTTAGGCTGCACTTTCGCCACTTTTGTTCTTTCATCAAGCTAACATGTTCGCATGGATAGTTTGTTAGGGAGACAAGTCTGTAGACTGCTCCAAAGTCGGAAGTGAGCAGTGACAAAGTGGAACTCCTACGTGGTGCTAAACAAGACGTTGTGCGCCATCCGGTCTTCGAAATCCCGATTAAAAGGGAAGGAGAGAAAGGACGACAATAGGGTAGAATGTTAAGATCTGGAAAGACCACGAGGATTTGCTTCTCAATCAGCATCAACAGATACTCCAGAATTTTGTCCTCAAAAAAGTCCTAGTAACACTAGTAAACTGCACACATTCAACAAAATGTCTTTTTGTCCGTAAAAGATGATTTTTAAAAAAAAATTATCGTTCCCTTTCAAAAGTAAAGAGTAATTGGTGCAGAAAAAGTTCGAAGAGAAATAAAACTGAAAAAGGGGCCAAAAGCCTCACAAGTTGATGTTTTGTTTTTTCCTTCGACTGATTGACGTGATTTGACAAGTGATTGCGTCGCTTCACTTTTTTTAACGAATCGGCACCTCTTTGTCTGCTCGAACTTGCCAAAAAGTGTGCTATTTTAAATGGTCTTAAAAATATTAGAAGTCGGAGATCGTCTGTTGGTGATTATTGCAATGTCATTGCGTCCTGACGGAGTGACACGCAAGCATCGGTGAAATCGAGTTCTCTTGACAAGGCCTTAAAGCCTTGACGCCCACAGATTCGTCCAGCCGCTTCCCCCAGCTAGCCGCGTTCGAAGGCGGAAGGGAACGTTTAACACCAATGGCAGGGAAGAAAATGAAGTGCCATGACTATGTGAATAATCAAAATGTAAACGTGTACACAACTCCGATCAGACTAATCTTCTTTATTGTTCTCTGCAAAACCTCTCTAAGCCTTGTAATTATGTCTGCAAATCGACGTTGCTGAAGGAAAGGTCCACAGCCTCATCGTAGCATCAGCGGGACTTATAAAAGCTCACAATATTTAGGCTTTAGTCGCTGAAAGCTGAGGCAAAGATAGAATTTTGGTGATAAAAGTTTGCTGAGCACGTTTTGAAAAGACTTGGAAAGAGGAAAAAAACACTGGTGAAAGAGAACCAAAGACCACACGTTGATGGTGGTTTAGTTTCCGGAGGTTGTTAATCGACCTACTGATCTGTGGCAATTTCCTTGACTTTCACGGCGACAAATTTCTCATTTCCCTTTTAAAAGCTTGAAAGTAAAATAAAACTAGTGTTCTCTTCGCTTCTCAGTTTCTAAGACGGTAAAATGCAAGTCTTTGTTAGGATTTCCAACTTGATTTTACATTTATCTGGCGAGAATCTCAACGGCTTTTTAAAATGGAGTCCTGTATCGTGGAGGCATAAAAATGTCAAAAAGGAAACTCAAATTTTAATGGTTAGGTAGGTAGATAGAGGGTTAAAAAATACGATTAGTTTTCTACTGTCAAATGCTTATCAATCTCCGCGATTTCTGCCTCCAATTTGGTGGTGGTATTTCCCTTTTTTGCTCAACACCCTCCTTCCTCCCCAGCCACGGCAGTAACAGATCTTTATGCATAATCAGCAGCAGATAGAACTTATCGAAATGAACAACAGTTTGCAAAAAAATATCCTAGAAAAGACGTCCACCAGGGAGCAGTGAGACGATCTGGCAAAATTTCAGCTTCTCCGACAAGCCTTCTTTCTCTGACTCTGCGAGAGAGAGCAAATGAAGAAGGAGGTTGAATATTCCATATTCTCATGGACGATTTCACAATTAATGGACCTGATTTACATGAAAGGGAGTAATTTTCGAAAACGGAGCACCTCTTCTTGGTAAGGAGAAGTCCAATGTCTACACCATGGTCCATCCTCCTTTCCCTTTCGTCTGTTATGATTCGTGGGAGCGAAAGCACAAGCAAAAGAAGGACTGGACAAGCACCGGAAATGGTATTGGAAGTCAGTTAACGATCGAAAACAGACAGTGCATAAAGATGACGATTTCTTCTCATTTTTCTGACCTGTCTCCTTACTGTCGGAGGCCTCATTTTTTGTGTCCACAGCATTTGAGATAGGCTTTGACACCAATTCTAGTGTCATTGCTTAGATGAATGCAAATATTTTAAGTCTAGACGATCGGAAATTACGTCTTCCCATCCTCCCTGTCGTCGGCTAGTGGTTTTGTTCAAATACGCTTTTCCTTTTTTGTTTACATTCACTCCTCGGAGGATAGTAACCTTTACATGGAAGTCTTCTTCGCACAACTTGCCCTTACGCATTTACATGGAGGCAATTTAAAGTGGCGCAATGCTCAAACCATTAATCAGGTCAAAACGAAACCTTGAAATTGCCCACGTCAGTGAAAATGAATTTGCTTATTTGTATCCAAACAACAATGCCTGCATATTGAGTGCACTTCAATGTTGTGATGAAGTTATTCAATCTCGTCATCTGTATGGTCGACAGAACTGAAGCTTTCCTCTATCACTCTGAAGAGGGACGAAAACCTCTTAGGACATGTCTCCTGCATGCCTCTCCGATGATGACCATCGTAGAGGTGAGTCGTGCTTCTCAAAATTACGTGATCAGTGAAGAGCAACACCTCCTCTTCTTTCCTATTTAGACCAGCTATGTCCTCCTCTCTCTTGGTGGTAAAGCAACAGGAGGGGTTGCCCCTATCACTGCCCTACGCTTCCTTGCTTGTGCCAGGTTTGACAGGAAGAAAGGCAGGAAAGATGGAATGAAGAAAGCAGGGAAACGGGGAGGTCTTAACATTTCTTGTGCGAGCTAGAAATGGGGTGACAGGTGTTTTGTCTCGCTCCACACCTTCACTTCACGTAGACAAAATATTTAGGTTAAGACACTGCACCATAGTATTTTCACGAGAAGTTTTATTCGTTGCATGAGAGGTTGTGCCGTCTTGTTACAACAGAAAGTGCCTCCATTCCACTCACTCACTAGTCTTGACAACTTTAACAAACAAAAGTCTACACTGCGAGTCTCACAAATGTGACGCAATCAGTGCATGAATCAAGTAGAAAGTGGTGCAGTTAAAAATATCACGATATGACAAATGATATCCCCGTTCTGATCAGTCTTTCAACTACTTTGTTGAGGCACAGGACGCCTGAACTTCTGAAAGCGCATTCAGCTTCATTAGTAGGGTTGACGATCTGTAGTCACACTCATGGCTTTTGACAGCAAGATCATTAACGGATGAAATGAGGTAAGAGAGAGCTAATACAGCGTAGCGCATTGACAGTCTGGCACCAAACTAGTGATAAATGGATGGGAACAAAGCTTGGAAAATGGTGGGGCTGTATGCTACTTCCTGCCATCGGGTACACGCCTTACAAATGACAAGGTATGAGAAGGCAAGAAAAAGTGATGTTTGTTCGTGTTAAGTAAGCTTGACTACAAAAGCGTGCTACATTTCTTTTACTAACCACCTATTTAATGACTGCATCCTAATGCTGTAGCTTTCTTAAAGCGGTGGTGCTAGGCCTCAATGGACGACAGCATTGACCCCTTGTTACTTGGGTTCAAGAAGATCCGTAGGTTTCAACACACCTTCAATAAAGTCCAAGATGCCAGTATATAGATACCCACGTTCAAGAAGTGGTCGGGACTACCATTTCATCAGAGTGCCCACAAAATGGTTTGAAAAACTGCGATGCAGGCTACCATTAACAGCAGGCTGGAATGACTATGGCAAGCTCCAATAAAGGAGCGGGTCATGGAGCATGTTTTTTCACTGTGTCCATGTCACTTTAGTCAGCAATTCAAACTGCTTCCAACTGAGGACAGGCTCAAGTGTTCACCTACCTGCACAGAGCGAAGTTGTTCTGCACTGCCATTGAGCCTCAAGAAACGCAAAGACTCGTCGCTAGCCCCACCAACCGTGCAATTAGTTTCAAACAACTTCCTTGCAGGTTCATTCCCAATCTGAATGGCTAAAGAAGTTTGGGTTGCCATATCACTTAAGTCCGAGGCTCGAAAGATACACAGGGCCATCGGTGATCCCATTAGTTCCATCGATTGTTGAAGTCTCTGTGAGGATGAAGTTTCAGTCCAGGTGAACAGTCCCACGAAGAAGAGGTCCTTATCGGGTCCAATGAAACTGTCACTCGTGACAATGTGATCAAATGTAAGGAGTGGCTCGGTTTCATGATCTCTAGGCGAAATAAGTATAAGAATAATTACAGAAAGCCCGTTGGCATGCCAAAATTACCCATCCATAGTGCAGAAAGCAATCACTAATGTGTCACTTTTTAATACACTCTGCACTTACCATCGGGGGGTAATTAGATCACCGCACCCAAAGATGCATGCAATTTAGGAAAGCGAAGGGCGCAGAGAGCGGCTAGGTGAGAGGGGCAGATGGGGAGATGGGGAGGTTAGAGGTAAAGGGATAAGTGAAATACGCTGTTCTCCCAGATCATGTCTTGTCCACTGACAAGGGAAAAAAATGTGTGCAACCCTTTTCAGAGGAAATGAGAAGGACAGCGAATTCTCGAATTATGTTCCCGGAGAATTATTCCCCTCAAGCAGAACGGAGGATAAATGTGCAACAAAACAGATTAGAGGAGTGCTCAAAATAAAATGCTTCTGTGACCGGTTTCCACTTGCTTTGAAGTTTCGGACTTCCATTTTAAGTCAAAAGACTACGACGGAAGGGAGTATGATGTAATTTTCACCTGCGGTCTGTTCACTCGTAGTCGTTTGTAGGTTCCAGAATTCTCCGTCATCTGCATTTCTTGAGCCTTGTAATGCTACTGCAGTGGCAGTAATAAGGTACCCTTAACAGGAGAGGCTTATAAGGCGAAAAACCTGCTATGTGAGGAAAGACTATCAATTTTAATGGAGGTTCTGAAACTCAAAGAAACTACAGAGCAGGAGTGGTGAAGAGGCAGCTCAACAAACCATCTTACAGTCGGCATTTTAGGTGGACACATTGCCGAGCAAAATCCGGCCTTAAGCGGAACGAGTTCAATTAAAAAGATTGTTCAGCACATGAGATGAGCGAAATCTCGGACAAACATTGGAACTGAGCATGTTGTTTTACTGATGCAGAAATCAGTGGTCTTATCATTTGCTGCCTGCCTTTCTAGAGTGCCGACAAACTTCAAAGTACCTGCGCAGAAATTTGACCAATGGACACAGCTCTTCCTTATAGGCGATAAAGAATCTCCAATTCCCTTTGCCATATCGAAGTCAACTACATTCCGCACTTGTTTGACTGATGCACAAAATTTCCCCACTTTCCAGGTAGAAGCAAGCTTTTGCTTGCTCTCGATCTACATGCCTGTTGGCGGTGGTCAGAGCGAGGATAAGGAAGTCATCGTGAAGGAACACCTGCTTTTCCTAGTTAATTTGACTAGCTATGCTCTCCTCTCTCCTAGTGGCAAGTATAATAGATAGACAAGTTGAGAGACTGCCTTCATCGCTCCGCTCCTCTGCCCATGCCAGATTTGACAAGAGCAAAGTAGGAAGAAAAGGGAGATGTAAGTCTCATTCGTTCTTGTGATGTGGGGATAAAGTGGTAAAGATTCTGCTTTTCTCCACCCATTCACACAACTGACTGAACCGATTTAATCAACAAGCATACGTATCCCAGATTCAAAATTTTATGACGCAGATTTCGGGCCGTGTCATCAGAACAGAATCTTTGCCACTTAATTGTTCTTGCACCTTCAAAAAAAAAAGACTTCTGGCACGTACCACCTAAGGCGCATTTTTTTCAACTCTCATTGACAAGCAGGCTTCAACAGTTGAACACTTTCGTCGGCCTCCTGCCATAGTCGGGCATCACCTTACAAGAGTGAGGACACAGCAACACACTATTTGATTTTCACGCCCTCTTCTCTCTACGTGGCATCAAAGGACTTCCACAGTGCTTTCCTACCGGTCGACCCTCTGGTCGCAAATTATTGTGCGATCACCAGGAGTGCCACCTTCAATTTCTTCTCTTCCGTAATATTGACAAGATCTCTTTACTCCATCCAACAGCAGTTCCATGAATCAATGTGAGGTATTTGTGAGGTCCTCTCGGTGCAGGCTTCCGTGACTCTACGAACTGCCAGTCAGCTGTTGAGGGTTCTACATTAAACAAACTGCCGAGAGAAGAGAAAAAAGCAAGGGCAGTTGTGCAAACCTATGAGTGAGCTTATTCACAGGGAGGCACCTTTCTCAATTCATTTCTTGCATTTGCAAGAAGAAGGAGTAAAAGGAATGGAGGAAGAGCCATTGTATTCAAGCAGGCTCGAGTGCTACTTTCGGTCTTCAGCTTCCGTTGATTACAAACTCATAGTCTTCTTAAAAACCATTCTCTACGAAAAATCGACTAAAGATCCTCTTAATATTTGACTGTATTCGGTAATAAATTATTACTAGTGATGAGGAAAATAAGAATGAAGATTTAAGGTTCATGCAAAAAAGTTCTCCTCCTCAACTTCTCAGCTGGGGCTAGGACAAGGAGGTTTTGATAGAGGGAGTTAATAGCATGCATGCTCAACGATTTTATAGCCAACTTCATCCCTTTCTATGCCGATGATCAACGAGAACCTCGGTGAATGCGCAGCGTCAACACCTTGGGGGCTCCACAGCGAGTTAACCAAACGCAATTTGATGACGACGCCTTAACCTCATTGTGATGGACAGATGTAAAAGTGAAACACTGATCCGGAAGGGGTGGCTTTAATGACCTCCTTTGTTGGAACATCTATTAGTGAAAGGCAGATGTCCGTGTGGAGAGGGGGCAAGGCAGGTTGGTCGTGACATCAGGCCTGACGACTATTTGGCATCCCCCACCCGCTGACTGACCCACGTACATCCAATTGTGGAAGCCCAAGTCATGAGCCACACTTGTGCGCCTTGGCTCAGCGATTATCTCGCGCATGAACGAAACAATTGAGCCACGTTAAAAAAACAAAACGCACGAAAAATTGGAGAATTATTAACGACATTTAATTTTATGCCACGTTTCTGTCACAGCAGAAATGCTTGACTGAACCAGCAGTGGAACTGTGGATCAGCTACACGATGAGCTACAAAAAATTCACAGCAAAGACATCGGCCATGAAGGCAAGAAAGAAAATGTTTGTCTCAAATTCATTCTAAGACAGGTCGCTAGTAGCAAAAAAAACAAAAATCATGCTTAAACGGAAAGGTTAGTAGGAAATATGCATCCTGGATCATGAATTTCCCGGCCAAGGAAAGAGAGATTGCATTTTACCCTTTTGCAGTAAATAAGTATAAAAATAAAAGGCTTTCAGCAAAAAAAACAATGATGCTTTATTTGACGGCTTTAGGAATCGTCACTTGACGGGTTGACAAGCAAGTCGCACTGATAAGTCCCGTTCGGTGACTCTTCGAATAACACCTTCTGAGTAGTCATTTTTTGTGCACAAATAGGTTATCAAAAAGGTAAAACTGCTCCATATTTTGTTCCACATGGTGTTGGCTTAAGTCTCATTTAAAAGTAATAAACTCCTGCAAATTCCCTTTTTACCTGTTGCGTGCGTAGAAGGCGGGCGCATTCCGGAAGGTTGGAAGTCTAAGGCTACAAGAGAGTTTGGCTTTGAGGAGAGTGGTAAACACGGCCAATCCACTGTCTGGCATCTGTAGACCGTTGTCATTGAGACAGAAACGCACGACAAGAGTCGACTGGGTCTGAAGGGCAAAAAACGATTTCAATGTCGCCTCTCTAGAATGGGCCTTTCAAATGGTGAGGAAAAAGGGACCTCCCGAAAAGCCATCTATCTATCAGGTGGGAAGCATTTGACTGAACACGCACAATTCCACGATAAAAGTATTTTTATAGTCTTATTAAGTCAGGATAATTGAATTTTTCCGAACTTATTAAAGGTCTAAAGTAGATTTGCCTGCAAAAAAAGGAGCATTAGAGACTATGGAGCAAAAAAATGAAGGGACTACTTTACCTTACCAATTAAAAATAACTGAGTGGACATAAGTATGGTAGAGGGAGGGCAAGAGCGAAGAGAACGAGAAAGGATGGAGTGCTTTTCACTGAATGTGGGCGCGACAGAAACCCCTTTGTCATAGTCGGCATTTGATATGAGCCCTCTATTAAGGGCAGCTTTTAATGCACTCACACTGCTGGTTTGACAGAAAATGAGGCTACTTTACTCCGCAAATAATGCATTGAAGGCACTTTGTCCGTCACTACATTACCATCCTCGGTATGATTTCGAAAGTGCCTCAGCCTCTCGGTGGAAAACAATAATATTACTATCCACGGGGTTTAGCAGTCTCTCCCTTTTCCTACCTTCTAATTAATGACGGCTGGGATGTTCACGTAATCCTTGTGGCTCAGTCAAAAAGCCACTTTCAGCAGTGCAGAGAACGAGACCATCGACTGGTTGAAACCTTCTTAGAAGCTTTAATACTACCTCGAAGGCGAAATCACTTTCAAGCACACTTTTCCTTGTGACAACTCAAGAATTTGAAAGGACTCAACAAATCCTTTAGTAGCATTTCCCTTCATCCCTCGATTTCATTCTGAAACAGGCTGCATTTCCGGAGAAGGTACCAGGGACCGAGGTGGTGCATTGCTCGAGGAGTGTGCTATAGCAGGTGAACAATTGGCATTGTATACGCATACACGAGGTTTTGTTCTCACCCCATCATCCATTTAATGCTTATGGAGGAGGTTAAGCAAGTCACCCAATGCACACCTCTGACATCTGATGGCCTTTATTGCTATAAGCAAGACGGTTTAAGTTGGTAGGTTTCGGGCATGGCGCAATGTTCCGTTTTATTTGCTCATGAGCATTCCCATGAGCAGAAGCCTAGGGGCTGTCTTCTGCTACCACCTGGACTTCCGAGAGAATAGAGGAGACAAAGTTTGGCTTAATTTGTAAAAGGTGGCAAGCTGGACAGGTCTGATCGACTCTTCAGGCATCGAGACGATTCAGCAGGAAACAAAAACGTCAGTCACCTCAGTGATTCCGTTTGCTTAACATTTCTGTCAACTCTGGATAGCAGATGACACGTCTGTTAATGTATGCATTGGAGTTAGGATGCACTCACCCAATGTTACAACAAGGGATCGGAAGGGAAGAGGAGTTGCCAAAGCAGTCTGCTGCAACTTTGAGAATCTTCGTTCGCGTCCTCCAATGCTGACGCGCACAAAGCTGACTGCGCAAATTACGAATGTGGCTTCGGTGTTTTCCCTCCCGCAAAGATCAAGTAAATCTGTGTTGTGGCTTTTTTATGCGAAGATATATATGGCTATGTGTACTTGTCCTTATTCATCCTCAAGAATATGCCCAAATGGCTCAAAAGGATGCTGCCCTCCAATTATCCCACCAAATTCACCAACTCACCTCATATCTTGGTCCTGGTGGTGAAAGAAAATCGTCTAGTGGGTTTCGGAATGATTGAGCACGATTGAAAAAGAGATAATGGTATGGACTGTGAAGGCGTTGATGTACTAGATCAAATTCTTGACTTCTGGGGAGCTGAAAGTTGCGCGAGAAGAGCTGCACCTTCCACCAATTGGGGTTGGCGCCCGGATGTCGTAGAGCTGAGGAGTTTTGACTGTACCCACGACGTAAAATTAAAAGTGGCAGTTGATCATCTTCCTCTCGTCTCTTTAGTATCACCATGACACCATCTAAAGTAGGTAAACAAAGCAGAAAAGTGAAAACTCAGGTGTATTTAACCAAACACAAATCTTTAGGCAGAATATGATTTGACGGCGAGAGGAGCTTAGTTGTCAAGTCATAACAGAAAGTTCTGTCTTTGGATGGTGACACGCAACACATTTGTTCACAAATCGCACAATTTTAAATGCCATTCTACACCAGATAACCTTCGGAACTGGCTGTGCTCAAAAGACCTCGCTAATCACCACAATTGTCCTAAAACCAAAATCCTGCTTTTGAAATGGAAGGTTGTTACTGGCGGAGTACAGAAAGGCAAAAAACTTGCAGGATTATCAATGCCTAATTCGTAATTTTAGGCAACAAATAAGTGGTACATTTGTTGCAATAGAAGGAGACAAAAGCGGTGGAGGAAAAGTTGCCTTGAAAGCCCCACGTTGGTGCTCTAAACACCAAAATGTGCATCGGTTGTAGGCTTTCGATGGAGGTACTTTCAGTCAAAAGTTCATACAGCATCAAAATATTGTTATCTATTGGCAATGAGAAGCGGATTGGTGAAACAGTGCAAAAACGCCCAAATAATGACAACATAATCTGTCTTTAGAGTAAATGCAAGGAAGATTGCTATGCACCGACATCAATTAGGTCGTTGCCAAGAAAAGAGGGAGGGGAGGAAAGCTACAAACAGGCAGGTGGAGACGAGTTGAAGGATTGCCTTCCAGACAATTGGAAAAAGGGAAATAGAAGAGAATGTCACAAAGAGCAAAACAGTCGACAAGTATAGAGCCTGTGATGTTGAATGGTCTCTAAGGTTTGGGAAGGAGCTAGTATCCAAATCTCTTGAAGGTAAATTCATCGCTCAGGTCAAACTATAACCTCTTATTTTTGTAGACAGCACAACTCATAATCTTGAGACTTTTAGAGGTGTTCTAACCCCTCGCGTCTGGCATTTGTAGCCCTCTGGACACTCAACAGGTCCCAGTAAGGGAAAGGTGTTTGCGAAGAAGGCATCATTTCCAACACAACAGTAGCAAGAGACTCTGTTGCAGGATGATTGTCAAATGGGTAAAGGAACCCAAGTAGTGATAGTGGAGGCCAGAGCAAACTTTGACTCATCACCACGGAAATCACGTTTCGGAAGTGAGGTGCATACACTTCCTAGTATTTATGAGGAAGTAAAGTAGGTGGAAATTTCTCCTTCGAATTGTACAAGATCTTCAAATTTGCCGCCTTCTTGCAGTCGACCACTTTTTTGTTAGGCTTATATTATGCGAAGACGGGGGCTAATCCCTTGAGATGTTCATGCGTGTGATCCAACTGATACCATCACCATTCCTCGTTTGGAGACAAAAACGGAACCAAACGGAAGAAATTTGCCGTCCATTCTCGATCTGATTGTTTTTTTTTGAGTAGGAGAAAAATAACGATGTGGTTTCTGGCGGTACGCCTCTAGTAATAACATTGTTGCAAGACAGATTAGCCTAGTAGGACGAAAATCCTGCGTCTTCACATCTCTGGAGGAACAGTTTTGAGATCCTCTGCTGTCAAACCTTACCAACTCCTCACTGATTGTTTACCGTGGCAAAAGGAACCAAAGCATTGAGCGAGCTCGTGAAAATGGAATCACCGTCCGGTCTCCAGAGTTTATTCATCACTGACATCAACGAATCATACCAGCTACATTACTATGCCCCAGAGCCATCATGTGTCATTCAATTTTAACTGTTAGCTGTAGGAGCTCTGCTTGTGTCATTTTAAAGCCAGAAGAACGAAGGTCTGAAAGATTTATGGTCTACATTCGAATAAATGCTTGCTAAAGGTGTGAGAAGTTCTTCTCCATTGGCAATTTTGCAACGTGAATCCCTCCTATATTCAATACAAATGAAAAGTGGTGAAAGCAAAACGAACTAATGCTGTATACCAATGCAGTGGACTTCCATGACTAGCAATTCGTCTAATTAATTTTTTGCACCTAAACCACCAAAATGCACGGTCCTTAGGGAGTTTTGCTCATACATAGTCCCCATTTCCTAACATTAGGCGAATAAACATAAAAGTGGTTATCTCCAAACAACCATCTCTAATACTACCGCCTACAACTGCTGCGAGCCGCACCCCTTCGTCCAAACAGGACGGAAGATCGAATGTTTACTTGCTGATCAGGATCTACCAAACTTATGGAATTCAGTCTGGAGGAGGTCAAAAACTTCCTTTTTAATGGTAGGAGAAAGGTAATGGTAGACGAAATTGAGGAGCAAGTGAGGTACTTCCTCATCTCATCCCATGCAATACTCCGATGCTGTTTTTGCAGGCTAGGTATGAGGGAGTGTCACAATTCCTTGACTCTTGATAAGCACAGGAGAGAGTTGTTTGCGGTAAAGCTGTTCTGACCACAAAAATTATCTGCGTTGAGGGAACCTGTTGGTATAAAGCTATCCACTTTCCTACTCAGGTGTTTCCACCAATGAAAAGTCAGGGAGGAACCTGTGTGCCGGGATATTATGAGCATTGTATGGTCGACTTGATTAAGTAATGAGGGAAAAAAATAGGTTTGTTGCTTTGACCTGAAGGAGTATCGACCTTAGAGGTAAAAGGAAAAATAAATTGAAATGCGGTATTCTTGAAGATCATCAAAGAAAGAGACCAACATTTAAGAAGCAGTAGTTAAGTGGCTTGGTTTCCAACAGTGCATGCTACTGAAATAACAAGCGTCTCCCTTCTTTCCAAAGGGCTCCTACAATGGACTCTGACTTAATAATGGAAGCAATGTGCCCTTAAATAATCATCTTATTCCTTCAACCTATGAAGGGGGATGAGGATTAAATACCTCAATTGAATCCATCCTGCGACTTTAGTAAAAGATTTAAACGGTATGGGCTAAAAGAAAAAAGTTTTTTGTGGGATTAACGTTTAACTTTTAGCAACAATAAACAAAGACCATATGTGTACGCTTAGAAAATTCCGACTATTCATTTTTCCTTCAGTAATTTCCACACTCTAGAAAACGTTAACTATGTCTTTAAGGGTCATGAGGTGAACGAGAGACTTGTGATGGGATGCTTATTTGAGTAAAACTTTACCATTAATTTTTGTAAACAATACATATCATAATGAATGACGAATCGGTATAACTAGATTTTGACGCCACACGGCAGAGGCCATTCCTAGTGCTCTTAAACAAAGGTAATGCCAACAGTAACACAACCGGCATGCAACTATAACGTTAATGGTTAAGATGAACCATCGTTGGAAACCTCCAAAAAGTGCAAAATTTCACATTACATTTTTAAATGAAGATTGTAGAAGGATAAAGCCCTTACCTGAATGTTGAAGCAAAGAGGGTTCGAGAGCTCTGTTCACCAACTCATCGGCGACGCGTTTCTCTGAAACGGCTGAGAGCATGCCTTGGGCAGAGGTGGTGTAGAGACCGCAAAAGGCCTTGTTGTGAATTACACCACATATCTCAAAAAGGTCTTCTTCGATTTCGGTAGAATGTGTGACGAATCCAGAACAGGAGGTAGAAAGGCGATGATGGGTGCAGTGCTTGGGTTGGAACCAGGTGAGAATATGTCTTGGAGTGCTGGGAATATTGAGTGTATTAACCTCATACATTTTGTTCCTAAATTGCAAAAGAATTTCAAAAATGAAGGAGTACGGCGACACATACTCAATGGTTAACCAAAGGCTGTGTTCACGAAGTCGAAGGAGGTTGAATTCTGTCGAAGTACTGATATGGGAAATCGCCAAAATTATGAAGCAAAGGCAAGTAAACATACGATAGAGTAGGATAGTTTCAATCGCGGCCATAGAATCACGACATACTCTAGAAGATAAAGTGATTTTAAACGTCTTTTTTTGAAACGCTTAAACCTAAACCTAGAGTTAAATAGGAATAAATTGATCTAATTAAAAGTGGTTAAAAGAACTCGTCAGAAGCATTTGATCAATTAAAGCATAATAAGATTATGCAACAACATACTTTAGTTCAGGACGTAAATTTAAAGTGTTAATTAGGTGGAATCACTTCACCGGACGATGTATTATGTTTAATGATCCTACTTGAATAAGCCAAAGCTCATTCTTATAAGTAGTGCACAAAAAGGAAAATGTTAAAAATTTTTGAAATACCGACGAATATATCCTTTTAAGTGAGGGCATTTCTTTGATTAATTGCAAAATCTTCAACTTCAAACCACGGTAAAATATTTAATCAAAGTAATAGACAACTACAGTCAAATTAAAAAATAATAAACATAACAATTGCACTCATCTGCATAACCATAAAAAAAAATATGACGGAAATTACGACAGTTGCATCCCACAAGCGTTAAGACTAAGGCTTAGTCTTATAAACCATCAAAACAACAAAATATTTATGGCAACACTTTATGGTGACATAAAGACACGAGCTAAAAAAACAACACTTGGCGATAAGGCTTCGATAAAGTTACAGACAGGTAAGATTTATCAACCTCATCTCTGACCCTAGATGTACAAACTCGCCTTCGACCGAATTCAATAGATTGGATATTGTACCAGATGTTAGAGGTCTACAGGTACAAACAAATTTCAAGGTCACAAAAAGGAACCCCAATACCGAACTCTTTCGAGATCATATATTTATATTATTGCAAACCATTATTCCAGTTATAAAAATTTTAAAGGTTTAAACGCTTTGGACTTTTTGAGGGTTTTATTTCTACTTGTTTTGATGTTCGATGCCATCTAAACTATATAGCACACACTCATCTAGACTATTTAAAATAAAATCCATGGCTTTTTGAAAAATTACTCGATTATAGTAAAGCAAAAGCAAATTTGCCGTTAAAGTTACTGATGCTCTTACACGCTGTCATAGATACAATTTATTACATTGTCTCTCTTCTACTGAGCGGCGTTCCTGACATTCCTTTGGACCACTTTCTGCGCCAGCCATTCAAATATCGTTGGTGATGCGAGAAAATATGCACAAGCCAGTACACTTCCATGTGTCTTATGTTAAACAACAAAACTTCTTAGAAATCCTTACTGGATCTGGATGTCTCGAGGGCCGGATATTCCAATGACAACACCTGTACTTTGGAGACCTACATTGAAACTCTAGTGTAGAAACTTCCTATTATGCGTGTCTTTACGCAGATAATGGTAGGAAACTCCTATACGAATTTTTAAGATGGTTCCTATTGTTGTCACTTCGTTTATTAAACGTTTACACATGGAACAAGAGAGTAGAGTACCTATCAAAGATAGTCGCTACCCTCACTCATTCCACTCAGGGTGTGAGCACCATGTTCATATGACAATGTTAACGCCTGGATGATGGAAACCAAGGTAGACGTCCTCAGAATCCGGATTCTCTCCTCTTATGACGATTATAGTTTTCTGAGCCTGAGGAATGGTTGCCTTCCCACTGTAGTCGATTCTAAACTCTTCTGAGTACTAAAATTACCACATGATTTGAGCCCTTCTTTGAACGCCATGGACCTTCTACCCGCGAAGAATAAACCTGTTTTCACCGTAGATACAACAACCCCTCTAGAAGCATAAAATATCTGACTCCCTCTTCTAAGTACCATCGAATCTTAGTTCTTCGAAATAACCCACCCTGCTTCCACGCCGACGTCCGACCCCACAACCATCATTTTACTTTTGTTTGACACTTATTTTGTAAGAATGCTGCTCTAAACAACCACATAGAAACACCGTATGCACTGGCATATCAACTCAAGTGTGTGCTTCTACGCACGGGATCTCTGACTCACATTTATCCAGACGCCTTTACTGCGTCGCAGAGATGTGCCAAGGGCGTCATCTTGCAACAGATTTTACAACTCATACTTGTTGCACAGGTTTCAAAAAATGGATCGAACGCCAAATACTAGCGTAAAAAAGGGAAAGTATATGAGGAGGAGGAGGGAAGAAGGCGGAAAAGAAAAGAAAGCTAAGGCGTAACACTTCAGTCAAGTTTTGGCTTTTGGCCTGGGATTTGCAATTACTGGCTTATGGTCAACCGAAGGAACTAAAAAAGGAACAAAAAGACGTCAGTTATTTCTAACAAACACAAAGGCAACAAGTGCGACCTTTTGAGGAGAGAGCACTTACATCATCTTCAGTGAACATGAGGTTGCCATCATTGGTCTTAAACTGTGCCTTTATATTATCAAAACTGTTCTTCAAGCGGACACAACAGACAATCCAATCCTCAAACGTCACCGCGTTCAACTTCTGTGTGACGAAGCGTTGAACCACAACAGTAAAGACAAGGCTGGAGAGGTGGAAACCTGAAAAGTGGAGTTTCAAAAGACGCGTCAATGTTTTTAAGTGAGCAAAGCATGCATCTGAATGTTTTGCATAATCAAATTTCTTTGACAAATGCATTTGTCATGCACACCTCATATCAATTATTACAGATACAATGTACAGCTAATTCACTTTTTACCTATCGTGAAATTGCAGAAACCACAGTCACACGATCAAGTGGAAAAAGGAAAAGTTTACTAAAAAGTCAAACCATTTTTGTTCCTAGGGAAAGGCAACCACCAAAATATCTGAATGCCACCGAGCTTCAGCCACTATATCGACTGACCAAAAGGGAGACTAGGTGTGCCTTCGATGTGGTCGCATCAAAGTAATCCGAATAGCGACGTAAACGTAAACATGCACCGGGACAACATCTTGTAAATGGACATTCCATGTAGTTGAAAGGCAACAAAAATGGAGTGTTCACCCTTGTAAAGAATTAGAACAAACAACTAGGAAGTCTACACCAACTACCCGCATGCACTCTACCAGAGGTTAAGGTTAAAGGCAAAAGCACTAAACATGCTGGTGATTTTTCGCAAGGATGCTTAAAATTAGAGCTTAGCTAAACGCCTTCGGTTTCATCGTTCTCTTCTCTGTATAGCATTGCTCGCTCCCGCTAAAGTCGATAATATACTACTTACCGGCACTTATAAGCGACTCACGCAGCTCGGTGACATTGAGAGTTTTGCTGCCATCACGATCACGCTGAGCAAACACGTCCTTGAGGCAAAAAAGACAAGTATGTCTCCATTCTCGCACTTCGGGCAAGTCAAATCACATCATATTAGCCAGGCAAACTTACCCTCCAACATTGACAGTTCTCCCACAGCTTCTTAAACTCATCATACTCCATTTTGCCTGTCAAGTTATTCTACATCAGACGCGGAGTTAGGGTTACAAAACGCCAATACAAAAGGTGAAGTGTTAGAATATTAAATATACACAATAAAAGTATGAATAAAAGGATGCATCCATGGCGGCAAGCATGCTACGAACTGCCTCCAAATGGAAACCGTTTGGATCTGTGCAAGAAGCTGTATGGGGAGGGAGGAAGGCAGAAGAACAAAATAAATATCAGCTACCACACAGATGTAGTGCGAGCAGTTCTTAGCCTACCCTTCATAGTGGATTTATTCAAAATTTCACGCAACTGTTCGGCATTGATGGAATTCGTGACGGGATCCTTGGTGGAGTTGAAAAGACTGTCCACAAAGTCGTCTTCATTCTAGCAACGCAAAAACAGCAAGACGAATTCACATAATACAATATGAAAATTCCAGTTTTTTTATGGTGGACACAAACCGCCAGTTTCTCCCTAGCCTCACCTTTGTTTTCTCGGCCTCCTTAATGGCCTTGATCATTTCCTAGAAGAAGGCAAAAAAAATTTAAGCCGTGCTTTCATTTGGTTGAAAGAAAAGAGTCAATTCCGACAAACCTCTGATAAGCCCTTGAAACTGTTTTTATCATCACATTCACTAAAAGAAAAAAGAGTAGTAGAGGAGTGTCCAAGCTCGTCCTATATCAGCATCAGTTAGGTCGAAACTCACGACTCCTTGACGACAGTTTCAGTAAAGACACGAATAATGAATTGGGCCTCCTGGTTGGGATTGAAGGTGCTTGGAACGATCAGGTAGCAACCAGGGGGAACTCGTATTTTGAGGACCACTTCACGAGTGTTGGTGAATTCGGAGATGTTAATTGGTCGGTTCGTGTTGAAGAAATCACGTTTCAGCAAGCCCTCTGTTTCAGGTGCAATCTGTTGAGGGGGCAAAGAAGTAGAAGAGGAAGAAGAAGAGTTTGCACTCCTCCTGACCTCCAGCATGCAGATAAAGGTCAAAATGCAGGCTTTTAGTGACCTGACTAACCTTATAGACACAGAAACCGATGGTGAGGAAATTGGCGCCTGCTCTTCTCCTCACATTCTTTTGCATTAGACCGATAACAACGGTACACTTATCCTGGTCATCAGTCGGATCTGGATCCGTGACTGTGATCTTGTATTGCGGATTCGTCCAATAGGTGTCTAACGGGACCAAAGAAATGAATTATAAAAAAACGTGAGGAAGAAAAGGGGATAAATTACCAACGAGATGGTTCTAGCTCCCTAACCTCGGAAGTTGGCGCATCCACCAGCATTGACATTTTTGACCCATTCACCGCTGAAGAAGGTCTCCTCAAGGCGTTTCTTTCCCTTCACTGTCATGCCCTCCTCAAGAGACTCATGGCCCAAGTGGCAAACCTCCACCTTGGTGAAACACTTTATAAAGTCGTCCATTGACATCCTTCAAAGCGGAAAAGGTAGTCAAATCGGTGGAATATAAGGAAATGATTTTTAAGGTTTGTAAACTGAGTACTCAGACCAAATGTCGTGATACCGCTGTAAAAGCTAAAAAGTGTAAGCGATAATAAATGTCTTTCGTCAGTCTAGATGTCATTTATCAAGACGTCAGCAGACAGTGATAACAGACACATAGAGCTTCCTGTGGAATAAGAAGTAAATGGCAGAAGTTTCGGGAGCCGTTGAGTGACTCGGAAACAGCATAACACAGTGACGAGGTGCTCTGACCCTCAACAGTACGACGGCACGCCTGCCCATCGTCATTTTGAACAGTCAGTCAGAGTACACGCCATAGCAATCTCAAAGCGTTAAAAAAATGTGCGAATGAGGAGAGAAGAGGAAAGGGATAAGGGGTTGAGAGAGGAAGCAGTTTCAGCTATTTGTACCTCGAACCAAAGTGTTTGCAGCTCCTTTGTTTGCATAAGAGAAGAGACAGTGACGAAAGTCATGCATTACTAGGAGACAATGACGTACCAGAATTCACCATCTGCGGCGAAATGAACTTGTAGACGTTTCTTGTCAGCTTCACTCACATCACGCCACTGTGGCGCATTGTCCGCCCAAGCCCCCTTCCATTCGTAATTATTGCCCCAGGGGTTGCGAACTCTCAACAGATGGACCTTTGAACCCTTGTAGGTAACCTGAAATGAGCCAAGAATAAAAGCACAAACACGTATATACAGTTCTCAGGGAAAAGAGGAATGACAGTTGACCACTTACGTCCGCCAAATCATTTAAACTGTAGGCATGTCCGGCGATGAGACCATTGTTCAATTTGGCCTCAATCTCTTTGGACTAAAGGAAAAAATTTTAACAATCAAGAACCCGCATTTACATGAAACCTTCTGTGTTAAAAATGAACTTATTGCTGCTACCTATTAGGAGCGACTCGAGATTCCACGTCTATGGCAGTGGGATCAGAGACCACTTTTAGAAACTGAATTTGATGCCTGATGATTGCAGAACCCACACTGAATCGAATGTGCCTACCCAAATCCGTAGCCCAGCTCCTAAGTAAACCTTTGATTGGGTTTGCCCTTGATGCAGCCCGTCTAACAGAAGACTAAGCCAGCAAGAGTGCAATAGTTCCTACCCGATGAATGCTAAGTGTGGATATGACGGCAACCTCCAAAGCCAAAGCAAATACGTATCTTTTTTATCGGTCTTGTAGAATTAAATAATGCTGCGGTTTCTGATCTCTGCGACACAATTACGTCCTCGGTGACTCACGGTAATAGAGCAGCCCATTAGACAGCACCGTTTGAGATACTTGTGCAGATCACCGTAAAACTCAGGACCAGGAATCTTCTGCAGGTCCAACGATTCCACCAGACCACCTGTTACATCCTCCATTGCTTCACCTTGACTACCGCCCGACAGATTGGCATAGCACCCGTTCAATCTAGAGGTGAAATTGGAACCGAGCTTTTAATTTCTATGCTTTGTTTGGCATTTGTTCACAAATTTACACTTTACAATGACTGGTTCCAACAAATCATGGATGCCAACACCTAGTCTGTAGGACCTTTGGCAGTGAAAATAACTCACTTGGCGTAAGCCTTTTCCATGAGCGGAGACCAAAATTCGTTGTTCTCATCCGAGTGCATAAAGATCATTTGATTGGTACCTGCCACCACGGGCAAGCGATCATCTACCAACACCTCCACCCACTGACCGAACCGCCAAAAGCGGAACTTGAAGATGCCCACGTAGTCAGGGCCTTGGATCGACTGATCCTTCGGCACAATATGGTTAAAGAGCTCGGTGATGTCAGCCATTGAAGAGATCACAGCCAAAAGCCAACAATCTCCTAAAAAGGAGCAAAATCAACAATAAGTAGCAATGCATTCTCTTCACCTACACCTGATGAGCTTTTCTTTATATCACCAGCATCTCAATCTCTCCTGCAGCTTAAACCAGGGCTTATGCCTCGTTCCAAAATGTAAAATTACCAGCTGATGGCACTCACCTCCTTAATTTTCTCCATCCACTCCGTTCCAAATGAAATAGGTAAAAAAAGCGATGCTGGAATGCGATCGCATACCAAGATTCCACAACTACTCACCATGTAACTCACAACCGCGTAAAATATCAACGCCTTTACTTGCTTGCTAAAGAAACAAATCTTCATCTCCTATGAAAAAAAATTCAAAAAAAAAAACCCCCAAAGAAGCAATAGTAAAGCTTACCAAGTTGACCTTGAGCAACATCTCCTCTGTCAGCTCCAGCTACTATAAAATCGGCTCGTGAATTTATTTCCTACAACAAGATAATTAAACTATCACAATGTAATTTAACAAAAAGAAAAACAAGTTATTCTATCGCCATCTTGTGATCCATTTTACCTTAGGTCGTTTCCATTCAAGTCTAGGAAGATTTCCAACGTTCCCAATAGCGCTATTCGGAGGAAAATCAGGATCCTCCCAGAGGGAGTTCGTACCCTTTAGTTTTCGCACGATATTGTCATACTTCTTTTTCGCGATACCCATCATCAATTGCATCTAACAGGAAAAGTTACAAGTGATTATGGAACCAACCATACGCCGAATTACCCTCAGGTAGTAGGAGTTAGTGACTAACCTTAGTGTAACCCTTGGGAGTGAGTGTCTTCGGTACATCAGGGTTGACACTGAGGCGTTGATTACCTCCTTTGGTTTGTAGGGCCTTTTCTAAATAGAGGAAAACGAAACAGACAGAAATAATTACAAACACAGATACAATGTTATATGAATCTTGATTTAACACCTCCACTCCACCTTGATGCATGGCAAAAAGACTCTTTCCCGTATTTGCAACTTTACTACTAGGGTCCACATTAATCAGGTGCCTGTCATCCTCCGTCCCCTTTCTTTCAATAAAGATTTTAGAATTTTTAAACTTCTTTAGCCTGACTTTCGCATGATGAACTCGACGAACAGGAATGGGTCCATCCGGCAAAACTTTAGGTAGACCTGCTGTATCCATCTGAAGCGCCTCAGAAGTCACAATAAGATGCAGTCAGACTGTATTAAGAACATCAATTAGAGGTCATCGCCAGAATATATGCATGATTGGCAGGCCACAGAAGTACTTTAGCAGTTCACATATCATACATACAGGATACAACTTTTTGGACGTAATTTGCGTTAAAGGCACAAAAAAATATTGCAAGCGAAAAAAAGACGAGTTAACACGTCCTTCTTTTTTGTTCTTGATACAGAAAACAGGAAAATGAAACAAGCAGCGTCCGCAAGAAACTAAGTGGGAAATTTTGCCCAAAATAGGTACGAATAAAATCTCACGTTTTAAAAAACACTACTGTGCAAGGGAGCATTGAATGGAAGCCCAGACTTACTATAGTCGTCAGGAGTGCCCATTTTGACATTGATAACCTTCCCGTTGACAAGACTCCTATGCTTGACATCCTTGTTGGGAACGCGCCCCGCGGAGCCATCAGGGTCGTAAACCTATCATGACGAAACCGGAAAAAAATGAATCCCTTTTCCTCCTTAAATGAATTTTAATAATCTACTTAACTACTGAATGCAATTCGGTTGTACGAGGAATCTTGTATTTGTTTTCAATCTGGTGGCACAGCAAACCCAACAAGTGTAAGTCGGAGAGAGTACATAAACCACTTTCTGCTAAAAGCAGATGCTAACTTCAAGTTCTTCTACCCCCACAATCGCCTTGAAATGGTACATTTCTCACTATGGAATAATGCCTGCATTGAAAGAGACCTAGGGAATGGCTTCCACATGGTTATTCAGCAGATGCCAAGAAACTTTCTACCGTTTCCATCTCTACTAGCATAACCTTGTTCACAACTAACGCAATAATGCGGTAACACAGACCACAAATCGTGATCTCCAACTATTTCAAATAACAAGAGTTAACGCCTTTGTAACAACAGGAGATGTGCATCAAACTACGAGCCACAAACATTAACCGGAAGATGATGTTCAAAAAAACAATTATACATCACTAAAGGAAATGAAAGAGCACTTCTACCAAGCCGAAGAAGTTGCAGTTCTATTCACTGCTGGGGAATTTAATCGCAACGATCACGACGCAAAGTGAATCTCTGGGTTAGTAAATGTCGACGCACAGATGGTGTCAAGATTACTAGCCAATCATAACCCAACAGTCAAAACTGACACAAGAAGTTTCTAAACTTACTATCTTTACTGGCATATTGGGCGTACAAGGATGCGGAGATTGAATGAGATCAAGACTTGGTCAACTATCGGCAGATGTATCGAGACTGGAGTGAATCTCTTGCATGAGAAGCACCTGCATTCGTGTGTGTGCCTGGTGTAGAACGCGCACGCAAATCAAGGCCTCTCATTAGTTTGAGTTTGAGCACGCATTCGCCTTAGTGCATCCGTGTGTGCGTGTCTGTGTGAGTAGATTACTTGGCAAAGAACTTCAAAGGAGAGCACATTACACAGTCAAGTCATTCATATGCCATACTCCGAAGTGTGATTTTCATAAACTACGACCATCTCATACGCTAGTTTCAGGACTTATGAACAAACAAGGCTTAACTTAAAGAATTTCCAAAAAACATCGTTTGTGGTTGACAACGGTCAGCCGTTTCCTCGTTGGTCTCCATTTGCCGACACGAGCGCTACGCATCCAATGGAATCATGTACAGTTGATGGGTCAAATGACCAAAAAGGTTAGGTCTAAAAGTATAAACTTAAAGTTTATGCAGGTACTGTTATGTCCATCTAAACTACGGCAAATATAACAGTAAATAGTAAAATCGCGCAAAGTAAACGTGCTAAGGTATCTGAAAGTGACCAGCTGACAAACTACCTATGCTGTTTGACCAAAAATACGGGTGTTAGTAAACATACAAAAGCATTGTTTCACATGAAATAGTTAGCCGGGCGAAAGTTATGCGAGCGGCACTTCTGTGATGGTGAAGCAAAATTTAGCGTTTCAAATGCACCTTAAGGGAGTTAACTAGTTTCCATTTCTGTATCCCGGTTATGTTGGGCATTCAAATAAGTAATTCCCTAATTTTTCTTAAGTCACATTTCTGCTTCTTCTAGAAAATGTTATCTTGAATTAATGACAAAAACAAAACGAGTGTGTTTTCATCCTGTGGTAGCGAACTCTTTGATGTGAGGTACCAGATCGAGGCAATAAAATGACAAGTCAGTGAGTTGCCATTTTAATCAGGATTGCATCATACTGAATGCATTTCTTTTCGCTGAATCAGCAACATCTTTGACACGCGGGTAGGTATAAGAAAAAAGTAGGAGACCACGCACGGGTTTCGGTATCTGTTAGAAATTATAAAGCCTGCTTTTGTGAGTAAGGTCAGAATGTAGGGCTTGGGAACCATAAATCAGTTGAAAGGGCTCCATGTCTGGACGACTTGATTAAATTTCAAACACGTAAGGCAGCCTACTTATGCTCGCATTGCCTAAAACTTTGCTGAAGTCGAATTGTCACCTGGTCGTAAAAACAGGTACGATTTATAAAGTTGCTATTATGTATGGTTAAGTGACATACTGATGCGCCACACTAGTTTCCCACTGTTGTGAATCTGCTCTATGATGGTGCATAAGCACCTTGCCATTTTTGTTCAGCACTTCTTGATATCTAATTCGTAATCAATTTTTTCTCTATATCAACAGATTGTTAAGACTCTAGTTGAAAAAAGCCAAAGAATTTTGTCTTCAACCACCTCAATTAAGATTCCCCAATGTGAACGTTTTCTGGACAACGAATTTCGAAAGTGCATGCGTTTAAGAAGCTGCTTTTACGCAGAACTTTAAGTAGAGAAATTCTAAGTCTTAAGACTGCCTTGTGTTCATGAGTAGCTTAATTATAAGCAAGCTCGGAAGAGCTAATCAAGAGAGATTCTTGGAATATTTGAGGTTATATCAAGCATTTAACAAAGAAATAGCCATTTCAACAACCTCTTCTTACACAAGTCTTGATGCATGATAGGACCATTTTAAACCAGTAATAAACAAAAACGTAGTTAGACGTGTTCATATCAACACTTTACAAATAAAAAGACGAGAACCAAATAGTTACATCAAAAACTTAGGCTGTATATGCTTGAAATCACTCGTAATGCTGTGTCTTTGACTATCTGACGTTTGGCTGTCACATGTCTGGCCAATGTACTCGTGAGCTGGCCTCCGGCCATGCTCAAGTCCATCGGTTCTATTCCCTTCGGAATACATGCATCCAATCTCACTTACCGCCTTATTTCACTCTGTAGAAAGCCTCGAAGTGCTGCAACACTATATAGCTAGTTTGATCCATTAGACATTCAATATTAGACGAAATGAGATTTTCTCCACGGGATTAAAATTTACCAGTAGAAAAAATTGCGTAGATCACGAAAAAATGAGCTATACTTTTAAGTTAAAAGTCACTTTGCCAATCAAATAAGACTTTTTAAAATAAAAGTGTAATTGCTGACAGAGGCTGCCATTTTTCTGGCCTCGCCTTTTGATTTTAATGTCAGATGCGGATAAAACTATACACATTTACTTAAAAAGCAGTGCTTTAGTTATTAGCAAAATTAATTTTAGGCAAAAAATAAGGTTTTTATAATATTATGACCTTAAAAGAGACATCATTAATAAACACTTTAAGTAAGTCAAAAAATGTCATATAGTTTAAGGTCATGCCTTCAATTTAAAACCTTGTCTTTTTATTCTGATTGGCTAAACCATTTTAAGCATTTCAAAGCAGTGTCTCTTCGTTACGATCCCGGATTTTTAAAATCCACCATTCTGTGTATTATCTAGTGTCATTTGTTTCGCACAGGTTAGCAAAATCTTTGCTCTTTGAGTCGGTTTAATTTGGGTTTAATAAACACATGTTGGGTCCAGAATCTACTTTTTGGTGTCATAAATAATTACTAAAATGTCTGGCAGATATTGTCCACATTTTATGTTCATTGACCTTTGTCTTTATAGGGGTGATCCAATGATTGGTGCACGGTCTGATAGCATATACTCAAGTAAAAGCACAAGTTTTGAACGACAGGTACTTCCCCTAGATTTTTTACTTCTCGCTTAATGCATCCGTGCTTAGTACGTTATGAAACTACCTTGAAATTTCTTAACTTAATAATTAAGGATTCGGAACGTTCAGTCCCTTCCTCTCAGCTAAGCTTTGACGGCGAAGACGATGACGACGATGGAAGCAAATCTCTTGATGCTGAAGCTGAACGCTTAGAACTGGAACGCTTGGCCAAAGAGCAATTAGAGAAGGCTAGAGTGTGTTTGACTTTGTGGTTGCTCTTTTGAACCATAATCTCTCAAAATAGCGCTCGAAATTGTGTTTTCAAATTTGTAGGTCTCATCTGTGGTATTTGCCGTCCGAACAAACGTCAGCTTTGATGGTTCTGCTTGTGTTGATGGTCCGCTACCTGGACATGTTGTCAGTTTTCAGGTGACGATTTTTTATTGTTTTGAGTAGTTGCACTCTTTCTTGAAAGCATTTTTATTCGTAGCATTGTGAAATAGGGTGGTAATTTTCGTTCGCTAATCGATGGGATTTTGGGTCTTTCCCTTTCAGCTGAAGGACTTTCTTCATATCAAAGAGAAGTTTAACAATGAATGGTGGATAGGTCGATTGGTAAAGGAAAATTCTGATGTTGGGTTCATTCCCTCTCCTGCAAAGCTGGAATACCTCCGGACGCGATCCCGACCCTCAAAATCTATCAGGTTCTAACGTCTTCTCATTTCTTTCTAGTCTATCCAGTAGTCTGTTCCGATTTTCCTTTGTTTAGCAAGGGAAATTTTGATTCTTCCTCGCTTCCACGCACTTCTGCTTCAAGAGCTTCGACACCTCCAGGTAAATGCAAACTAGGTTCATGCTTTGGTGATTTTGAATTTGTTCGGACTAGATAACTGTGCTATTCATTTTATAGCCTAGGATCTATTTTTTGTTTTATCCAAATTCTGAAAATAATCTTCATTCGAAACTATTTCCTAGATAATGTCATAGTTACTAACTTAAATTTGTGCCTTAGCACATTACTGACTTCGGCATCTTTTCTTAGGCGACACCGATGGTGAAGGCCGCGGTGATGAGAATGAACAGTCGTCTCGTATTAAAAGTGTCAGCAATTCCAAGGCTAGTAGAAAGACCTTTTTCAAAAAGGTGTGATCTTCACGACAATCCTCATTTTTCTACCAAACCTTATGGTTACAAATAATCAATACATTTTCTCTTCCATTGGTAGACGGATAATATTCCACCCTACGAAGTGGTTCCTACAATGCGACCGGTTGTACTGATAGGACCCTCTTTGAAAGGCTATGAAGTAACTGACATGATGCAGAAAGCGCTATTTGACTTTCTAAAGCATCGATTTGAGGGCAGGTTAGTTACTTACTTTCAACACTAACACTTTGAAGCCTACTGCGTTTCTGCAGCTATTAGGGACAAATTTAATGGTTTCGCTACTCCATTTGTTTTAAACATAACGCTCTTCCTTCCTATATTCGATAAAACGAGCAGCATTAAAAGGAAATTAAACAGTCATTTTTATCCTACAGCTGGGCAACGACAATCCTCTCCATTGCCATGCTTCAAGTCTGAATCACATGCTCTATCGCTTTTTCTTCAGATGTAGTCTCAAGCTTAACTTTATCCACAAGAGGAGAGTTAAATCGCGGCTTTCAGATCCAACTATTATTTAATGACAGGATTCAGAAAAGATAACTGAAGGTTGTATAGGCAGGTCTGTTACGTATTTTCTTCAATCTGACATGGTTACTGGAATTCCACGCCTCATTTGTCATTTCCATCCGTATTTGCGGATCCTCGGTGGTAAGGCTTTCCAGTTTGGACTTTTTTCCCTTATAGAATAATCATAACACGGGTGACTGCTGACATCTCTTTGGCTAAACGCTCACTTCTTAATAACCCAACTCGACGTGCTATCATGGATAAGGCGTCGACGCGAAACCAATCGTTCGGTGAGCTGCGTATGGAAACAGTTTCCTCTCCTATGTTTCCTCACTCTAGCACGATGCCTTCCACGATTGCTTTTGATTCCGAATTTGAGCTGGCTGCATCCCCTAAGGTAATCTGTTATCTTTTCTTGTAGAAGTGCAACAAGAAATTGAGCGTATTTTTGATTTGGCGCGTACACAACAATTAGTGGTGCTCGACTGCGACACCATCAACCATCCCAGCCAATTGGCGAAGACGTCATTGGCACCAGTGAACGTTTACGTGAAGGTCTCCTCTACCAAGGTCCTCCAACGCCTCATTAAGACACGTGGCAAATCACAGTCGCGTAACATGAATGTGCAAATGGTCGCAGCGGAAAAACTGCTCCAGTGCACCAATGTGAGTGTGCCCGTAATCCCACTGGTGATTGGACGTGCTAGTCTCTCCTCGATTGGCTGATGCAGGATGCCTTGGATTTGATTGGTTCGCCAATAGACCACCTCCATATTTTATTTTTCCTTTTTTTAATCACATTTATGGAAGCAGTACCTGATTATTATTTTCGTTCAACGAATTTTGAGGCTGCACTACAGCTGTTTATCTTCTCAGGTCTGGCCCTATAACGAAACACTTGCGATTTCTAAAGTTTGATTGGTTTTCAGTATTAAAGTGTGGAGGTTTTCACCATAATGGTCTTTGCACTGCTGCTTAAGTGCAATTTTTTTATCAAGCTTGCAAACTTTTGCCCAATGATCCATTTTATGGGTAGCCACGTTCAAACAAATTAAATTTATGTGTCTTTTTCGTTGGGAAGTGCGGCAACTTTGTCTTGTCTGTGTGGGTGTAGCGTATGTGGGAAAAATTGTTTTCAACAAATGAGTCCAGTAAATAATTGCCTTTTTAACTGAAATGCTTTAATTGCATTTAAATTGTGGAGCGGCTCTTTGTTGAAAATAAGTCTCACCATAAAGAACACATTAGCTTCAATTTTCAATGCGTGCATATCCGTTGAATTTTATTTTGGGTTTTATTGCTTACAGTCGGGTTTCTAGTAGCTATTTGAGAAGTTTAAGTAGTTGTGAAATGTGAATGAAGCAATCGGATAGACAAGTTTTTAGGACTAAAGGTAATTTGTTTTACATATGCCTTGTTTAAGGGTGCTCTGTCTTTGGGAATTAACTTATCACTCTTCCAAACTATTATTCATTTGTATCGCGCCATCCTTTGACAATGCTTGCTGCGACTCCCTATAACGCTGCAATCAAGGGCGAAGATGCAGTGTTTGAGTTATGATTGGCTTTATTTTTTAAAACGTCTAACCATCTACAGCATTGCCCTTTCTTCGGTCTCGAACATGACGCATCGTTCTTCCACACTCTCATGGCTCTTAGGAGTACCCGTGTAGCCACTAATTCAGTGGCATAGAATTTGCGCCGCTTCGGCGTTTGATGATGCTTGCCCTTTGAACTAGACCGATACACATGCTCTGGCTGAGCGTTCAATTTTTGCGTCACTTTGGTCTGCCTCATGTTATTTGTCGCAAATCAACTCCTAGGACCAATTCGACGTAATTCTTGAAGAGAATCAGCTTCAAGACGCCTGTGAACATCTTGCGGAGTATCTGGAGGCCTACTGGCGCGCCAGTCATCCGGCCATCGGTAATACCGCCAAAGCTGAGCGTGTACTGGGTATCAGTGGTCAGATGAGCACTGCCTCAGTCCCCTCGATGGAGAAAGCACGTTCACCGACACCGGAGGATCGTGTTAGTCTACTCTCGCCACTCTCAGAAGATGCCTCGGATGCTACAGAATCTGCACCGATTCAGGAGAGAATATCTTCACGGTGGCAGAGGGAGGGTGGTAGGAATGATTATGATGGAAGGTGGGAGAGGAAAATGGGTGAGATGAGAACAGGTGATGAGGTAGAGATTGAAGAAGAGGAAGTGGAGGAGGAAGAGGAGGCGATGAATGTGGAAGCAGAGAATGATGTGGAGGACCTTGAGGATGAGGATGAGAACGAAGAAGAGGAGGAAGAAGAAGAAGAAGAGTATTTGAATTCATGTAAGCATTTATAATTTAAGTCTGATAATTTTGGCATTACTTTCAAAGAAATTTATTGCAGGATTAGACCTGACATTGCATTGATTTCAAATGGATCTAAATCATGCATAAAAGGTAAGGGGTAAGCTATGGATTCCCACTTCTCTCAAATATTATGGAGCAGGGATTATTAAAGTAATGTTTCTCACTCTTCTAGCTGAGTACGATGAAGAGGCACCTCAGCTGACCGATTATTACAGGGGCAGCTACCAGCCCATAGGTCAAGGCCAACACAAACTACCACTGGTTCACCCGCGGCAAATAATTTCGCCTTCGATACATATGGGTGTCGGTAGTAGTAGTGGCTCGAGGTATCATCATTTGCACCCATCGCAGAATTATCCTCAGCACCACCAGCCACAACAACGCCACCCAGTGCCCTTAAATAAGCTCTATTGGGAGGAGCGGGAAGGTGATGTTAGCTACTCGGATGAAGATGAGAGGATGGTAAGTATGAATTTCTTTTAGTAGTTTTCGTATTTGAGCTAGAAGCAGCATGAAATCTCGAGTTGTTAAATCCTGTGAGGTAATGTTCGGACTAGCTCTGGACGATTGTTCTCTCTTCTAATTGGTCCATTAGTTACCCAATCAAATTCAGGACCATTTTCTTTGTTTTAGTCATTTCGTGGTCATTATTAGAGGACAGAATTTTGTGCATCTTAACGGTAAGTTTTCCTATGTATTTGTTGCTATTACTTGTCCTCTCTACATGACTTTGTCTATAGCAATGAACAGGAGCCAACAGCGGTTGAATCCTTAAGCACATCAATGAGTGTTTCAAATGTATTAGGCACACAAACCGACCAACTTCGAATCTTCGCTTATTTTTATCCGCCCACCATTGTTAATTTATACCCACATTCCTTGTATTCTGTGATAAACCGGATGTAGATTTTACTCCTCTACACTTTCCTGCGTCCCGTTCCTTACCTTCTCCTCATTGAAGCTAAACAACAAACTTTTCTTCCTTTTATTGTCTGGATCTTCCTATCTACCTTTGAGTTTTGTCATTTTTGATGTTGTATGCGTCGCCATTGGCAAAGCAGGTTTGTACTTTACATGAAAATATTTAGATGGATGACTTGTTTGCGGTAACCAAAAGTGAAGGTTGACTTTATTTTAAAATTTTACAGCTGAGAATTCGAATATATCTGATTTCTCCTGGCTGAAAATTTTTAAAGAATTAGAATGTTGTTTTGGACTGTCAAAGCACAGTTGTTTGAGCTCAGTAGCGCCTAGTGAACTTCTCCGACACTTGGAAGCTGCTAAACACCGACGTGGGCAGTGCGTTTGGAATTCATTCCAAAAGGCGTTGGTTATCACCTCTCTCTCTCCTGTCCATCACATCGATGCAGTGACCAGATTATAATGGAGTAGTGAGGGTTAAGTGTTGGGGGATTAGTGAATCATAGAGGAGAGAAGTTGAAGCAGTTTTGAGTTCCTCAAGGTTAGCTCACACAGTGACCTCACTTGACGATCATCAGAGGGATACACGGGTCGGGGTAGAGGTAGTCCTCGCAAATTATCCGGCGTTCGATTAGCCTCAATCGGCGGCAGAAGAGGTAGATGCCACTAACGGATGGCGTTTTCTCGGAGGCGTCTTCTTTGAAATCACCTTAAAACTATTTTCATGCTCTTTTTGAAGGATGAGGCTAAAATGATGGTATCAGATTAGTAGGGGCACTTCATACTCCCATATTTCTAACTTTAAGACGGTTTTCTTTTAAGTATTACTACTCCATGTCTTCGTGCACAATGCTGCCATTCAACCTGCAACGTAGATATGCTATCACTATTCTCACTTAATGATTCGCATTCTGCATCAAGTCACCGTTGTTTATTTCTGTCAACCATCCCAGCCAATTGGCGAAGACGTCATTGGCACCAGTTAACGATTAAGTGAAGGTCTTCCCCACTAAGGTCCTCCAACCCCTCATTAAGACACGTGGCAAATCGCAACCGCGTAACATGAATGTGCAAATGGTCGCAGCAGAAAAACTGCGCCAGTGCACCAATGTGAGTGTGCCTGTAATCCCATTGGTGATTGGACGTGCTAATCTCTCTTCGATTGGCTGATGCAGGATGCCTTGGATTTGATTGGTTCGTCGGTACTTTTAAGTCTTTAATTGGCATACTGCATTTGAGTGACAAACTTTTGACTTTATCACCGATGTCAGGATTTGGGGTGGTGTGACAATCACTTATCCCCTAACATTAAATCCAATTGTTGTCTTTTACCTTATCAGTTGGATTTCATTTGGGTTTGGTATATTTTTTGTCGTTAGTTAATTTTTTTACGAATGTCATTGTGGTGTTGCAAATGTGACCCTAAGACCCTTTCTACTGTAGGCGGCTAATTAACATAAAATTATTCGTCTTTTCGCGCTTTTTACAGTAAAATTTAAAATTTGCCTCTCCTCTTAACCATAACCTTAAGTAAACAGTGAGAAAAGCATCTTTTGGTTTCTCTTATGATCTGCGATTTACATAGCTAAATATAAGATCGCCACTCGTTATTTTTGGTCCCTTTTCGTACAATTCTTTGACTAAAAGTTGCTTCTTGAAAAAGCATACGCAGCCTGTTGTCCATGCCGGAGGAGGTAGTTGTAACAGACTTAATTTTTTGTAAAAATAACACTGTTTTCTCTATGCAAACGAATGGTTTGTTTTTCTTTAGGATGCTCTTTCGTCAAGAAAAAAGGTTTTGGTGTTACTTTGCTTAATTTCTCACTCTCCAAGACAGGCTAAACTTCTGGGGCTGACGAATTTAGCATTTGTTCTCAGAACTTTAAGAAACATTTCCCAACTTTTGTACTTTTATGGTGGTACAGGCGCATCCGTTCACTTCTTTTGGACTTTATACTTGCGGTAACACTACTGTTGATTGAATTCCTACCGTAGCCTTTCAATGCATCCAATCGTCTTCTGATAATTCTGGAGTCCAGTCCAAATGTCTCTCCTTTGAGCCATGGGATTTAAAAGCGAGTACCGATTGATACAAGCACACTGTGACGAATGTAGCAGTCAGAGAATGCTTTCTAGAAGACCATGGCTCGACGTAATGGTTTGACCTCTCGGCAGCCAATGCCCTCTCACCTACCCTAAGGTTGTACATGAGGCAGGTGAATCAGAAGAGACAGTAGAGAAACATGTGGGGTCTCACTAAAACACTTCTTTTCTAACCTTCCCCTATAATGCAAAATACACCATCTGTTCAAGTGTTAAGGAATGAAAGTGAAACGTAAATTGATGGGTAGCATATTTAGTTTGACCTGAAGTTTGCTACCACCACTGCGACCAGCTGAAAGGATCTTGTTATCTTCCCTGCCATCTTCTCACAACCAATCTTGTAAGACCCACTTTCGAAAGCCTAAACTATAACTTATCAAGTTTGAATTGCTGTAGTCTTGCTATCGCATCCATTTATTCTACCAGGACTAAAGATAAGTTAAGGTCGCTTATTAATTATCCAGCAGGTCAAGAGTCGAGGTAGTCTTGCTAAAGCCATTTAATACCTGTCATTTTTTTCGTTTCCTTTATTCGTTTTCTCTCAGTTCTTTCCCACGTTGCAGCCTATATTTGCTCCTGTCCCATCCTAACCCCATCACTTCATTCATTTCCTTCCCCTCCTTTTCCTCTTCTTTCATCTCCCTTCTTTCCCCACCTCCTCCCTTTGCAAAATTATTTGCGTTCTACTCTCTTTCTCATTGTCTATCTTCTCTCCCTTACTATCCACCTCACTCCAGTCCTGATGTTCAAATGTTTGGCAGGATCTGCACAGTGTTAAACTTTGAGAACAACTATTCACTTCCAGTTTGTAAGAGGCGGTTTCAGCCGACTCTATTCACTTATTCTGGCTAATCCATTTTGCACGTCTGCTTACGATCTCTGAAAGAAAAACAGACCTCGTCGGGGTTGTTGTTCAACAACTTCAGTAGGCGAACCCGTTCACAATCCACCTTGTGAATGAGGAGAGGTCTGCAGCAAAATCGGTAGGCGGTTGGTTAGCAAATCAAACTGAGACCTCTGGCCAGTCGAATGGTCGGCCCAACGGCACTCGTGGCACTCCTTGAGCTGACTTTTTAGAAGGAGTGTGAGGGCTTGATTTATCACTCTCACAGTTTTACTGGAAAGCACTTGCCATGCCCCCTTGTAAATGTGAAGACGCTTGTTCAGCTATTGTTTCTGGTTGAAACATTTGAAGACCTTTGGAGCGGTACAGTCTGCCTTCGCATGCTTCGTCTTTCGCCTTTTTTCTACCTTCCCACATTTTAAATTACAGTTTCCCCTTCATAATGGTTAAACTTCAGTCATATTCCTGCCTCTTCATTATGGACAGGACATTTTGCATGACTGCTAAGTCGAATAGGGTACTTTGAAAGCGATGCAGGAAAAATTTATTGGTCCAACTTTGTTCCCTTAAATAATCAACAGTTCACGCCTTCGACATTAGCTTTCCACTTCCGGTTCCATGTCCCATCAAGCTCTACCATTTGGCCCCACGGAAGCCAACCAGGCGTGCGGAGCCTTACCGTAAGTTGGCATCATTTTCACCTGAAAAAAAACTACGTTTGCAACTCATCAGCCCTCCTTCCTCTTGCAGATTTTTTCACTTTCATCATTTGACGGTTTTAACTTGAAATGAACAAAAGTATGACAACGCGTAAAGCACATCTAAGGCAATTTTTCCTTTTAAAAAAGAAGCAAACTACAAGAAGTTTGTTTTCGCAGGAAGTAAACATTCATTCGATTTACTTTCGGTGGGTTGGGTTCCAGTGTTTTGCACAATGCAAAACTTAGTAGAGCATTTTGTTGTAAAGATAGCTACTGTTGGTATTTTAAGGCATGGAGATACAATACCTCAACCGCCTGGTCATCGTTGGGTGGCTACCATTCTGTACCCAAAGACCACCACAATCTGTAGTCGTTGCACTCGCATCTGGCGACTTCCCTTTTAATGTGCACGTTATTCTTGTAGATATTCACAATTTTCTTCAACGGCATCGTGCAATCCTTTGACGGAGTAGAAAAACCGTTCCCTTGAATGCGGCTTAGAAGAGATGTTAACAAACTTGAAGTAAAATTTTGATTGGTTATGGCGACCGTTCCTCCTTTTGATTGGTCTGTTTTTAAGCCGATCAACTCCAAAACCGGTTCTTCTGCTATCTCTTCTGCTGCCATTTCTAAAGCCAGACAATGGTGTCCAAAGCATTCGTGTGACTTAGCCATAATTACATATTACAATCCCTAATTATTTTTACAATGCTTTGATGTCGGCTTTCGTCTACTAACAATTGGGAGTAGCGCCTATTGGTTGGAAGCGCATCGCTTGCCCGCTACGGGTAAATGGACATTGTCAGTGTTCTGGGCATGTCAACCATTCATCTGCAAATCTCGTGCGTTTTAAGTCCGAAAGTCCTGAGTGCAATCGACCAAAACTTTTTTGTATTTCTTATTGTAACCAGAATGCAAATAAAAGTTTTCTACACATTTTCCCATTACAATTTCCCACTCTCCTTGTTAAAGCACACTAAAATCAACCGCACAAACTTTCCCTCCTTTTTACTGTTTCACTCTTCTCCCATTTTGAGCTAGTACTAGCTAACTTACTAATACTTCTTGCGCTATCATTCGCAAGGTATATTCCGACTTGTCATATCTAAAACCCATTATAATCCACGTAGACTTTGATTTGAAATGGTTAATAATGTCATTAATTGAGTAAAAAATCAGTGGGTCTACCTGTTTATTATTTTTTTTTTTTTGGTAGCCACATTTAGCAAGTTGTGTGTGGACAACAGTTCGTCTGTGTGGTTAGTTGGTTGGTGCTCCCGCCACTCTGGCAACTCGTTCTGTCAAGCACAACTTGCATGGGGGCATGCAGTACTGCGCAGTGCTTTACAACTTCAAAATCTACATCGATGGAAAACTATGAAGTACCTAATCCAGTTTCTATGGTTATTTTTTGGCATTTTCTCGGTGTTAACATTGCTGAAAATGCAAGCAAAGAGACCTCTGAGACGTTGACATAAGTTTGGATTTAATCCACAGGCCGTCTTTCCACATTCAAAGACGTGGTATCAGGAGTTGTTAGTAGATCTTTTTGTGTTCATTCGAACCTACTACTTTCTTGGTTCTTTGAAGAAGTAAACGACTTGGTTGTCCCTTTTTACTCATAGGTTTTTTAAAGTCATTAATACTTAATATTACCACCACTACCGACCTGCTCTCTAACGGAAGCTTGTCGTCAATTTTGCTGGATAGTAGGTAGAAAAGGTGCCGTGGTTAAATGATCCACCTAGAAGTAATGATGAAAGTCTTCTGATCTACGAAGCTCCTTATGCTCACATAATAGCTGCTAACGCATGTGTGTTTGGGTGCAAAGGCTTGTGGTGGACTGCGGAAGGAATCATTGCCCATGGACTGGCCTCTCATTTGAGACTGACGTCACGAGATACCACAAGCAATGCCTCTTGAGATGTAGTGATAATTTGCCAATCGGCGGAGACAAGATCTCTACTAAGAGAATCGAATGGGATGTTGCAACACGCCGTCCAAGATGCAGCTCATTCTACCACTGCTTGCCATTAATGGTGGTCGCTTGGACGAGATCTTCCCAGAATCAACCAGCTCCAACAAACCATAACCATATGATGCTATTCAACAGTACAGATGACAAACTTATTCTACCTTTTGAACTAAACACCTTCCGCGATTGTTCAACAACCACCGGACTCTAACCGCAGCCAACAACCAGCCTCCATCAGCTGAAATACGTCATCACAAGTCGTAGTACAGCCTTGATTATCTGAGGGTGGCATGACAATTCTGACACCAAACTGGACACTTTTTACCAATGACATTTCATTAAAGTGGATTTTGTGAATTTTGGCTTTACTGTTCACTCTTAAAAGGCACCCAATAGGATGGTAAAGAGGTGGAAAAGTTACTCATTTTCTCTCTGGTAAACTCAATGGAGATTTGTGATAAGTTACAAAAAAAGTCATCTTTGACTGTTAAAGTGCTGTGGTCTGAGTTCGATAGCGCCTAGTGGACTTCTCCGGCACTCGGAAGGCGCTAAACACCGACGTGGGCAGTGTTTGGAGTTTATTCCAACTACCATTCTAAAAGACAGGAGGAAAAAGAGGAAAATGGCAACTTCATCTCTCTCCTGTCCACCACACCGATGCACTGACCAGATTAGAATGGAGTAGTGAGGGTTAAGTGTTGGGGGATTAGTGAATCATGGAGGAGAGAAGTTGAAGCAGTTTTGAGTGCTCAAGGTTAGCTCACACAGTGACCTCACTTGACGCTCATCAGAGGGATACACGGGTCGGGGTAGAGGTAGTGCTCGCAAATTATTTGGACGTTCGGTTAACCTCGGCGGATATGTCTGGGTGTCGGTATCTTCAGTGGTGTCTAAAACGAGCCATCAAAAGCCCACCGGATTGTGACTCAAGAGCGTCACTTCATTTTCCAGGTGATGGTGATGGTGAGGATGAGGATAGAGGGGCCACACACCTACCGTAGGCTGCTTCACTTGGAGTGTAGTCAACTGCGGCTGTAATGGAGGTGCGAGGCAAGGGCTCCTCCTCGGGGTTTCGTCTACCTTTACTTGTTGAGGCGTGCAAGCTTTGGGTCTCGTTGGATGCTAGAGATCTTGGCTAAAAAAGGAAGAAATGCTTACAGACAGCCAGAGTGGTCGCAGCCGTAGTCTGCATTTGACCTTGACTAAGAGACCCAACTTGCAGTGCTCCAAACCGTTCGAATTTCACAGTACAAAAAACAGGGAGTTGGACGCTGTCAACTGTCTCATTTGATGGAAAGTAGTAAAACTCACTGTCAGATATTGGGAGTCCACGAAAGGCGTTTCCTCGTATGGATCTTCACTTGGTGTGGAAGTTGAGTCGGTCTCTCTGAGGCACCGCGTTGACTGGCCAGCACCTCAGAAAAGCAAATTGGTGTTTCTTTTTGGAGGAAAAGATGGAACTTACAAAACGATTTAACCAGTTTCAAAATGTACTCACCACTTCCTGCCTTTTTAGGTTTGCGGGTGAATTTATTGGTCTTCTCAAATACCTTTCTTTCTCCCGTCTTCGGTTTCAATTCCGGATCCACATTCATAAGGTTGTCCTAAAATTAATTTTACTTTCGCTGTCAAGATGTCAACAAAATTGGATCGGCAATGAACCGCAAATGAACTTTTCAAAGCAAATTTTATTATTGCTACTCTTTCTCACTCACTCCTCTTCTGCCATGGAATGTAGTCAAGGGCGGAGCATTCTTACCAGCTTCTTGCAATGAAGTGCGTAACGCAACAAATAGAAGGTGCAACTCGGTGTATGTCTAGCATTTGCTTTAATCGGTCGCCCAACACCACCGATACCTTAGCCAACTCCCCTCAAATAAGGAGACATTTGCGCCTTAAATTCTGGGTGCCAAATCTGCTGCGGGTTTCGTGAACTAAGAAAGACTCATGACAAAGCGACTTGGAGGATGGCGGATGAGAGAATTCCGAAATCTTGAATATGTAGTTGAGTCAGAACTTAACTCTTATTGCTTGGGAAGGTGATCAACTGAAATTGCGTAAGACTGAAATAGAAGGAGGACAGTCTTATTGACAGGGAGGGGAGTTGAGTGGGCAAAATTATGAACGCGATCCTAAATCATGTCCCCACACGACTGGTAGTTTAGCGAATGTGGTGCACTCACTGGGAGTCGTCATGCCGCCAAAAGTGGTGGTGGAGTAAGTTGTCATTGTCCCTTCACGGAGCACGAAAGTGGGGAAGTGTGGGAAGGGCAGGGCGATTACAGTAGTCACTTACCCCAAAGCTTTTCCAGCGATTCATTTGAGAAGTACTTCTTGAGGAATCTACACCCTTTCGACTTGTGGATTTGGCTGGAATGGGAGGAGGGGGAGGAAGCGGCGGTGGTGGAGAGGAGAGTAAAGAGGTGGATGAAGAATCCTCTTCTTCATTTGGCGAGAGCTTCCATCGTGATTGCGCAACTAGAGCGGGCTGTGTCAAGAAGGTGGATGCACGTGGTTCGGTGTCTTTGGGCTGCTGGAAGGCATTCGAACTCTCCGAAACGCGGTGCTGTCTACGATTGTCTGATTGCCGATCGGGAGTGGCTGAGGAAGGTCTAGAAGAGAGAATTTTGCCCATTGACTGACAGTTTAAGTAAGCGTAGAAAACTAACTTCTACTAAGCAATCGCCATTGCTATTCGTAATGATCTCTTGTTTCCCTAAGTGACAAAATTGACCTTTAACACATCCATCCACATTATCTATTCTCTCTTGATCAGCGAAAATCACGAGTTCAAAAGAACAGAGGGGCAGGGTAATACTTTGCTGATGTGACCACCTGTATTTCTGGCGGCTACTTTGCTCCTGTACGTGTGAGCTCCTGGAAAACATGCAAAAATTGAGGCAGTTGCCGGCACTCCCCTCAACCTAGTTATGCATCGTACACCCACGAAGACCACATCCCTTTGGTATGCGATGGCATCTGTCCTGAATACTGCTAGAATGCAAGCTCAGATCCAGATTAAAGTGCATATATTTGGAAATCTCCCTCTCTCCCTATTTCACTCTAGACGCTCTTGCATTTGATGGCACAAACACGTCAAAGTCAATCAACTTGCGATAGTATGAGGGAGTGCTCATGGAGACCACCAACGCCAAGTCGATTCAAAGTGACCTGCGACTGACTGCGAGGTTTGCGTCCCACATCGGCTGAGCGTAGAGACGTGGGATCAATTTCATGCAAACTGCTTTTCCTGCGACGCGGCAGATGTGCCAAATCGCCCATTTCGCAGGCGGATTGAGGGCGAGTGACATTGGAGGCATCCTGTCGGTGACTGGCGACACGTTTGCTCACGGTGGATTTTTGTCGACGAGAGGTGGAGCTCATCTTTACCAGGCGTCAATAAAAAGTCACGAGTAAACATCGCTACATGGGAAAATGCTGTTATGAGCCGGCAATGCTAAATGAGGAAAACAGGATTTGGCCTACCAAAGACCGCTGAAGGAAGGCCAAAAGTGAGAAATACTGGCTGAAGCCTCAAAGCACATTCAGTAGCCAATTCCTTACCCACATTAGCAGGACTACGAGTCAACAAAACATTCTTCACAGTAAGAATCACATTTGAACTACTTTCTCCACAAATGTCAATCAGCGAATACGAAGCAATTTGATACAGTGACGTGAGAAGCGAGTGTTTTGTAAAAAGTTTAAATCTGCCTATTACTTTGGCTCCAGTGGGAATCTTTAGGTGGTCACGGAGATCGCTGGAGGCAGCGTCTTGCAAATGTCAACCGGTTGCTTATGCCCTTGACCACAATGACTTCTTCAGCGCAAGCTGTAGAAGGTCCACAAGTGAAATAATTTGCCCTCAACACTTCAAATGCTGATGCTCCACATTTTGGCTTTCCTCTGACCGTCGACATTTCAGAAAGCTCCCAAATTTTCACCTCTTTCAAACCGTTTGCAATATTTGCAGATGCATCGAACTTCTGCATCAACCACCCGTTAATGTTGTTCAAAATGCCTTTAAAAGTAAAACTGTATTAGATGATACCACAAAGCTAAGCAATTGCATCAACTTCATTGGCAAAATATCAAAACTTTCACAATTTTTCTAAACATTCCAACTACTTTATTGGAAACGTCCTGTGCAACCCAGAAAAGCCTTCTTTTGAGCTTCACAGAAAGGGAACCCCAGTGGTTTAAAAGATTCTTGGCCAACTGAAAACGCACTACCCTTTTGGATTTTTGCTATCGACATAACACTTTACACTTACGGCTTTCGGAGTGGTTGGAGATGGTTTCGGTGTAAAGTCACAGACTTCGCGCCAGAGGTCATCAAGTTGTTTCACCTCCGCCTCAAGCTGAAGTCTTCGCTCCCTGAGTGCTGCGTCTTCAGGATAGTCCAAAAGCCGCAGAGTGTGATCCAACCCTACCACTGATTGACGTCGACCCTCTAGCATATCTGCCGATGTCACAATACCGTAGGTTTGCGAAAGCGCCCTAGTGTCTTGCCGCATCTCAGCCTGAAGAGCGCGAGCTACTTCCCGCTCCTCCTCACGACGCAGGAATTCGATGCTTTTTCGACGAGAGAACGACCTACTTGGCTGGATTGAGGAGTAGAAGGTGGTAGAAAAGGAAATAACATCTGATCTACTTAGATTTCTACAGCCTTCGACGCCTTCAAAAATAACTCCAAGTGCTTATTCATGACAACGGTGTGTGAATCGTATCAAGGAGTTTAAATTAATTCCCAAAACAATGGCCTATTGAAGCGAATGCTAAAGAGGTACACACATTGGAGATTCGTAAGAAGGTGAAGCAATGGTACGAGCTGAACTACTCTTTCGCTGTTAATGGGCAAGAGGTAGGCAAAGAGGTTCCTTCTTTGCCTCAGAGATGAAGTTAAATCAAAGTAGCAAATGGTAATTGATAAAACCCATCCTTCACTGAAACTGCCTCATCATTGTGCTCGATTAAAATAACCTTTTCAATGGAAGATTGTAATCTGAAGTGGACAAACAACTCCACCATCCTCAGCAGTAGGAAACAAAGCGGATTCGAAGTGGAGAAGTGGTGAAGACAAATTCGTCGATACTACTTAAATAGAAGGTGATCTCATGTCGGTACAGGTGGGTTAATCTAATCTTACACCTCTGTAGAAACTCAATTATCGTTTCAGCTTTTAACTAAAATTTTTTGATTTTGATGGTGCAAGTCAAAAGGCTAACATTCTCAAACAAAGAACGTTCATCTGCACTGCGTAAAGCGGCAATATAAATGCCTCCGATATTGCGTTCTTCCTTACCTTCTACTTCCCATTTTTTTCGTCATCTACTAATCAGCGGTAAACATTACAAGACTCTACTCGAACGACTCCGTAAGTAGCCGCAAGAGCCTCAAGTTACTGTGGAATTTTAAGAGCTTGTGGTCACAAAATGTTATTTAAGTGAGTGCTCTGCTTGGCTATAACTCAGTGACTTTCGAAAGATGTTGCACTCCTACCTTTTCATAATCCAATCCGTCACCAGCGTAGACATCATTTAGGCGGATCTTGTTGTTTAAAAAGGTAATGATGGGTGTGCAGCTCTTCAGCTGTCCCTCAACATCCTTCAATTCCAGACGTAGAGAATCTATCTCCTTGCGAGCTTTTGAATCCGTTCTAAGCACAAAAGGTGGTGACAAATCCTACCATTATACTATAAAGGATATGAAGGATTAAAGAAAGCTACTTTTATGGAAAGGAGTAGCTATCCGATTCAATTAATTCAGCACTCAAGTCACAAGGATGTGACATTTTTCAAATTTGCCAAAGCTCTACTCCTATCTTGAAACCATTTACCCCAACAAAAGTTAGCATTTTAATTAAGGAGCAGAGAAGCCCTTTCGATAAAAAATGGAAATGTGATCCACCTGCCTTTCCTTCTAAGCCTCAGTCCTTGCAAAATCGAGAGCATAAATTATCGCCCTGGGCTGCATAATGAGAGTCTGGAGGCGGCGATTTCTTTCACATGCATTCTGCTGCACCCAGATACAATTTTGTCAGTGATTCGCTGACAGTGCTTGTCAAATGGAAATAGACCTGTTTACTTAACTTCCAAAGCCCAATTTTCTTGAAGCAGTGCGAGCAATTTAGAAGTGAGAATAAAATCGCAAATTATAAGGAGAAATTTACTAAACAGGAAATATGCAGACCCTAAAATACGTTCATGCTTGGACCTCTTCCTTACCGTTCCATGGACACGCTCACACTTACACATATGGAAGGCCATGACCACTCGATAAAAAGAAGCGTGCTAAATTTAATTTTTCGCATGTTTTGACCTTTGCCAACAAACTAGTGGGCGAATGTCACTCGGAATATTTACTGAGTCGGCTTGCAATTAGCTACAAATATGGGGTTTATATACCTTTGTTGGAGTGACAAACTTCTAGGATAACATAATTTGGATGCACAGACGGTAGAGACAAATAGCAGAGGCGCACGCAATCATAGGGCAGTCCGCCTTATAGTGAAGAAGCACGCACAAGGGTAGGCAGGGCACGCAAGCAGTCATATAAACCTGCTCTCCGCATGTGAGCAGAGGCAATCTTAAATTAACAGAATTTGCTATGCCTTTCCGATTCCCAATGGAAAAAAGAATTCAATGAAATGACAGGACTTAAAAAACCAAGACCACTGCTATTAAAAAATGTGAATTAATGACCTACTCGGCAGTAGGCAAGAGGTGCGTAATTTGTTCGCTAAAATAGTCCTTCCACCGTAGCAGATTAGCCTTTTCATGATTCAGCTGCAGGAGCATTAGAACTAGCTCATTCCTCTGAAAGATAGCGACTTAAAGTTAAACATAACATTTTAAACTGGCCTGCAAAGTCAAAAAACTCAAATAACTTTTAATTTTGGTCAAAACAAAAATAAAAACATGGCTAAAAAAAACTTAAAAAGTAATGCATCATTATAATGATTAGAATGGTTGATAAAGGCGTAAAAATTGTAAAAAGTAAAGAAATTATGCTTTGCAAACGAGTTTTGTTTAAAAGCCAATCAAATTCCCTGCTTGACTCGATGAACAACTCGGAAAATTGACTACATTAAAAAAGCCTTGATTACTGGTTTTTCACGAAGATCTGAGATAGTCATTTCCGGAAGGCCTTCAGTTCTAAATCGCTGGTTTGGAGAACCCTGAGATTGAAGAATAGGCATTCCCTAATATAAGAGAAGAGAAGCTGTAGAACACCACACTTGATGACAAAGGATTAATACGGAATATTTACTGAAGCGTCACGACCATTAAACAGGTCATTTGGTGGAAAGTTGGCGCATAAGGCACTATTACTTGAAAGCTGACTTTGTCGAGGTCTCAGCGTTCTTGGTGGCAGAGCCGGAGGAATGTCGGGGTCCACACTCTGGTTCATTGTGTCGACTAATTCCTTCCACAAAACATGGAACGATTCTGCAAGAAAGCAGTAATGGCGCAGCAAATTTTTAAACCTGTCAAAAAATACATATCAATAAGAGTTAGGGATCAAAGGTATTCAATGTTGCCCATAGGAGGCTAAAAATCAAAAAGAAAATGCAAGCGAATTTGTTGCGTGTATCAGAGAAATACAAAACACAAAGAGGTGAAAACTGGCTTCGTTATGTTTTCATATGTAGAAAGCTCAGTTATAGGCAGAGAAACCATGAAAAGTCAAGGGAGGGAGCAATTTATTAGAAGGATATTACTTACTTGGATGATTTTGAAAAAGCGCCTTTGCATTGCTCCAACCAGAAAGACGAGTAGCCTGGCTATTAATTGGTTCACGAACATATAAACAACACGGTGTAAATTTAAACCATTTAAGGTCATTGTAAATCAACATTATAACCTTGCATATAGTACTTTAAAAAGCAACTATTTGTCATTTCTAAATTCACATCCATAAGTGTCTCGATGTTAATGGCAAGAGCACAGAAGGCAGCAGTAATTATAAGCTGAAACACATAACATTTCGAAGCGCCTTGCAAGCCTGGGGCGAAATTAATGTTATGGGGTTATAGCAACTATATATTTAAGTTAGTCGCTTTCAATAACGTGTGAATGATTACGTTATTATAAAACTTTGAATCTAAAGCGTTTTTGTTATATACGACTCAAGCGGTGGTGCGTTTTTAGAGATTTGCGTCACTCGTTCTGTGGTGCCGCGTCTTTTAATGCTTATGCACTTGCGTTCATGAGTGTCTTATTATGTAGATGGAATTCTTTGCCGTATGTTTCATTGCACGCTCATTTTTTCGTGACTTTTAGTCAGTCTTGCCTGAAGTGTTGCGACGCTTCACATTTGCATCTGTGAGCAGTTTCTTCAGTGAACTTTCTCCATTTTCATACCATCTAAGGATGTTTTTGTCCTTTGTCAAATAAAGTTTTGAAGTAGTCTTTAATTTGATCATCTCATTTTTTGATACCATGTCAGTGTTAAAATTGTTTCAAATAATCCATTTTTTGGCCCTAGTCCGTATCGCATTTAAGCTGTCGGAATATTTTATATTGTTGGATGAAACTAGAAATTTGGATTTGATCATAGTTCTTTGTCTGGACTTTCAATCTCAGTTATCCCCATAAGACTTCGGTAAATTGCTTTGACATGCACATTTTACTGATTTTAATTTCGTTTTCGCTCATTCATTTCCCTGCTTCTTCGCTTACAAGTCGTTAATGCTGTCACCTCTGTAATTTCTCTTTAATGTTTCCTAGGAGAGGCAGAAAGCTCTTATTTTCATTTGCATCCCATGTTACTTGTTAACAATTAACGCCTTTTATATGGATTTACGCGATTACTTATTGTTTTTGGTAGGTGAATCCAATGCCAAAAGGGGCTCAGTCGAAGTCCTCGAATACCAATCTTAAGCGAAAAAGTGTTGGGTATGGTCATCTTTCTTCACTAGAGTTTTCCAAACCTAGAGTTATGCTTGATATTAGTCGGAACAGTGCTAGAACGAATGCCAAAAAGGAACGTTTTATTCGGCTTCTGCAGCAGCAGCGTGAAACAGAACAAGTATTTTCTATTTCTTTTGCTTAATTACGTGAACTTTGTAATTTTAGGACAAAAATACGAAGAGAAAACTAATCAGGGCCAAAAGGCAAGCCAGGGAGAAGAAGCGAGCAGAAAGAAACAAGGCTTGGTGCAAACTGACGAAAAAGGGCCAGCCAATTATGAAAGAGCGGATACAGTATATGCTGAAGGAGTTGGGGCAAATGCGACAATGATGTGATACATATGATCTACTTGTACATATGAGTAGCAGTATTTTGTGCGTTTTCCAGCTATGGGTGGCGCTGGTGCGGCTTTATTTTTGCGCATATTCCTGTTGTCGTGAGCGTTGGTCTAGCGGGTTCGTGTAGGGAGGTCAAAGCTAGAAATCTATGCAACAATTCGACTTGGTTGATGGCTACTTAATTACGGGGGGACTATAAGTTTTGCGAGATCCTCTTTTTTGGGCTGTAGTGAGAGTCTCTTTGGGTGGTATCGCGTTTGGAGGCGTCAAGCAGGCGGAAATACGTGTTTTTTGAACCTAATGAAAGGACAAAGGATTTGAGGTTCGGGGGAGCTCTTCGAAGTCGAAGTTTTAGGTAAAAAGGGATAATAAATTGATGGGTGGTTCTCAAGTCTGTGGTTTCACTGACACTGCCAATTTGGGGTTTTATTTCAGCCACCTCGGATAGATTGCATGGGTGTGGCTGGATTTGCGGCTTCAAGAGGCGCGATTAGTACCTGACATTTTTTGTTAACCATGTCGAGCAGCATTTTATTTACTGTGCTAGAAGGTGGCAACTGGTGAATTTTTGAATACATCGCTTGTTATTATTTTTGAAAACTAATCACTTCACAATCCTAAGTAAAGGGGTGCAAGACAACTCTCAATTTAGCCATAACGAGAGACGTATTTTAGGAATAACCTGAAGGACATTTTAGCCTTTTTGAACGATGCATGTGGATGTCACACGGCAAGGCTTATCCGATGAAAGTGAAATAAAATGAATTTCACGTGGTTATACCAGTGCTTTATGCGCATATGTTGGTTTGATTTTGCCGATTTAAAGCAACAAATGACTTTTTCTGTAAAAGACATATAAGCATTAGCAATTGCCTCTAAGTGATTCGCCACTCAATCTTCCCACAGATGAAGCGTGCATCACATGTGGGTTCTGTGAGGAAGACAGGCTTCCTCACAGTGAAACATTTGTTGCCACAAAACATAGCCGAAGTCTGGCAGTGATGCCCAGTGGCTGCTGCTCATCGTCTGTGAAAGCATCCACAGCCATTTCACTAGTGAAGCGAACCTCTCTACCAACTTCACGGCAAAGACGTGTGCAAGATGTGCGATTTAGGTGAAGGAGCGAATTGATGCTGTCTTCGAGTTCGCTTGCCACTCCTCATTTCCGCAACACTTGCTGGCGTTGTTGCTCTAAGTAGCATGATCGTATGTGAAGTGGATGTCGACGAGACGAAGGCGAGGAAGATGGGTGGATTCAGTCACTATTCCGCTAAATCCCAAAACTAAGACCTTTAACAAGCAAAAATCACAGTAAAATTTGTTTTGAGAGCTTTTTAGATCCTAACTTAGAGGTCTAATCTACTTTACTAACCTTCGTTAACAAATTTCTTTATCTCACAAGATCGTAAACAAGACTATGGCATGATGTTCGTTCCATCAAGTGGTAGTGCAACTTGCAGGAGTCGATGCCCCTCGCCACACGCATCACCACTTTGCTCATGGGTCGAGCTTGAAGCACAGAATGTGGAGGTTGCAACATATTAGCCACCTTCTTCCAATGTCCACCACATCCGTTTGACCTCGATGCGAGTCGTCTCGAGGGGGTGCAAGATTCAGAAATTCCATTCCGATCTATAGCATCTACTTCTACTAATAAGTAGCATTCAATGGTTTAATCAAAATCACAGCAGCAGTAAGGCGACCGTTTTTGCCATTCTGCATTGCTATCGAAGAGACAATGAGAGTGTACTTCTGGTTTGATGCTAATTAGTAATGTTGGTAGCAGGTGTAAGACGATATGAATCTCGCAGCGTACTTTTTGGTTGACAATAACAAAGGTGGGTGATGTGCCTGATGAAGCAAGGTTAATGTGTGTGTCAACTTTCTGGTCATGATTAAGCGAACGATAAGGCAACAATGGAAATAAATAGAGGGTCGTTTTGAAAGTTTATAGATGTCTATCTCTTAGGTTTTACTTAGTTGAGCTCGTAGAACTTAATATTCGATTTTCGAAGTCATATAATCGGGAAGTTGGAGATATATGTATTACGACTTTGCCGATCAATCTCCCCATCAAATGGTCACCTGGTGCCCTCACCTCCACTCACCTATCTGCAATGAGTGTCTTCTGCCATGACCTACCCCTCTAACCAGTGTGTTAAAGTCTAGTCTTCTCCTAGATGTAGCTTTCATCCTGTTGTGATCCAAGTTCTTCAGCGGTCTTCTTATGGCCCTTGACAGCGAAACAGAGGCACCAAGTTCCATGAGCAGAGCTTAAGCTCTACGGTGTGGGCAGTCGTGGACTAGCTTGCTCTTAAAGTTCGCCAGTTCTAAGTATCCAGTAACAGATTATTTTAGGTGCGTCGTCCATTTTTAGTTTTACTGCCTCACATTGTCACTTGAATGGATATGGCTGCGGCTTAATATGCAAAATTGTAGCCCTTGTTACCCATGCTATTTGAACAGCCCGCTTTTGCACTAATAACGAAGGTGACCAATCAGCCAGCGGCCTTGGCTTCACCGGGCGACCGAATATGCAAGAGGCAAGTGCGCGCCAGCATTTGTGCAGACTTTTAA